TTGGGATGGACAGTTAAAGTGAGCTCGGTGCCTCACAGCTTTTCCTGGTCCTGCTTAAAACTGGGACGTGCTAACCATTGCCAGTGTATTTTTCTTACCCCATGTAATACCCACGTGTGATGTGATCACAGCACATACCATTAATGTCTGTACAGTTCCCTGTGGCAATGGGGATTGTGAAAACTGCTTTTTGATGTCTCAGTAGCACACTTGTTGAAAGCTTTTTTTAATTGATAGCTGAAGAGGTACATGTTGAAAAGTAAGCATTTTAGGCCAGTAAAAAACCCAAACCAAATCCTATCAAACCAAGTCTTCTAAAACAACAGGAGACATCCCAGCTGTAGGCTTACACATTTCCACTGTGCTACTGAAAATAAACTGGAAAATTTTATATGATGCAGGACTAGCACAAGCCTGCCTGTTCTTGACAGACTCAGTTAATCCACCTGGCCTTTCAGACACTGACAGCATCATGCAAAGAAAATCAATTACCCAAGATAATCAAATCCACTCTCTTCATCTCAGCTTTATCATTCATTTAATCTAGTTCTTGAGTATTGACATTATTCCAGGCATAATGGAAACAAAAGTGCTTCATTAAAGGCAACACTTGGACCTATTCAATAGTGTAGCAAGAGCTAACAAAGCTATGACAAGGGCAGCCATGGTGTTATGAGTCAACTGACAAGTGATACAATCAAAAATATGTGCTTCTCAAAACAACCTTTAAAGAAATAGTGGTTTCAGATGAAGATGCCTTGCTCCCAGGGAGGTTTCATCCTGAAGTGCTTTGTCATTACATGGGAAGAGTAAAGGCTAGCACAGTGCCCAAAAGTATGGTCTGAGCTGAAGATGTTTAGGTGCAAGGTGCAACCTGCAGCTCTCAAGGTAACAGAGCCACAGTGCTCCAAACTGAGAGGTGGTGTAGGAGGCCTCAATTTCATTAAGAATATGCTTTGATTTTGGCATGAGTAATCCTACAAAAGGTCAGATGAACATTAAAATAATTCACTGAGCTTCAGTTACTTCAGTGAAAAAAGGAGCAAGTAGTGATATAAGAAGTTCACTTGGCAAGTAAAGGCTTATCAAGAGGAGAAAAAATTCAAAAAAGACATCAAATAATTAATCAAAATTATTATATTTTAAGTGTGACTCTTGCTACAGTTAATTTTCAAAGAATTTGTTGTGTGACTAGGCAACAAGATGCAAAAAGGAAAGATATGAACCTTAAATTTGAGCCATTTTATATGCTTATTATCTTCCACTCAAATAATCTGCAAGGGCTGCTGAGTATGTAGCCCCCAGGTCACTGACTATTATTATAATAATTTAAAATGCAACTATTCACTATTTTTATATACATATATACATGTAGATTTTCATGGACAAACATTCGTATTTGAAAGTAGACCGTACCATGTATTAGAATGCTAATTGAGTCACCCTCTGCTTCCCACATAATTTATAGTAATCAGAAAACTTTATTTCCTAAAGGATTCTAGAGATGGAGCATATTTTATTGTGTTATTTTCTTTCTTTTCTTTACATTCAACTGGACCACTGAAAAATGAAATAGAATTGTCTATAGTAATTTCAAATCAATACTCCTCTATTAGCAGATTTTGAAAGGCCTCAACATTAGTATTACCTGTTACTTCATTAAAATTAGAAGATTTAAATCAAAACAATAGATCAGTAGGTATTTTCTCATTCTTTCTTTGCCTTTTGCTTAGATACAAACTGTATTAATTGGTCTAAATTTCAGGTCCTCACTCAATACTACATTTATTCAGTACTCATTTGGTCAGTATTCCAAGCATTTTTGATTACCTTAATATGTCCAAAATAGTATCCATTAAGTGTCAATGTAATCAAATTAAAAATGGGGGCATTTTGATTTATTGTACCTTATTTTATGTATTAATATAATATGTAAGTGATAATGCTAATGTTGGCTGATTTATAAAGGTTATAAATTGGGCAAAAGGTTATACTTGGGCAAACGGTTCAAGCACCAAATAATCTCACAGGCAGACTGCTGATCAGAATTTAACATATCTCCAGGTATCTCTGGAATACCAAAAGCTCAATGTGCTTTCTGTTTTTCTTGGCATTGCAGCTGTTGAAAGACTTTACAGAATACAATGCTGTTTAATCAGTGCTGCAATTGTTACAGCAACACTCTGAGATTACAAACTGTAAGGAAAGTCTACTAAAAAAGCCAGCCTACCCAGTATGGGCTCCAATACAGATGAAGAGGACTAAAGGCACAGAGGAGTTAAATGATTTCTTTACAGTGGACGTCTAAATGTTTTGTGTTCAAGAAGTCTTTTCTGCAAGTTGTTCTCTAGAACAATTTCATTACTCTTTACCAGCCTGAGGATGGAGTCAGCTGAGTTTCCCACCTGATGAATGGCTCTATTCAAAGACTTAAGATTTGGGTTAATAATTGAGCTGTCCTCTTCTGGGACTAGCTTAAAGGCAGGATGTGCATTTGGTACCTCAGAGCTCCTACTGCTGCAGGGAGCACAAAGGGGACATGGGCTTGCCAGGTGAGTTAGCTCCTAACCTAACATACTCCTTGCTGAGGATGCAACAGCCCCAACAGAAAATTAATAAACTGAGAAGCACAGGCACTCTGAAGGACTAGTATAAGCTTTACAAGAAACCACTACAAATTTTAGTTTTATATTAATTAGTTTTTCTGACAGCCTTAATATTACAGGCCACAGCAATTAAATTTTAATGTTGTCTTTTACTTGCTTGTCTCCAGCAGTCGTGACACAGGTGTTGCTTCAGATGATCTGGAGTCTCAGTGACCACTACAGCTCAGGGCTCCTGTATGAAGAGGAGAATGTGTGCTGCCCAAGACTTTCAAATGCATCACAGCTGCCTTAGAGCCTTGAAATACAGACAGGTGCTGAAAAAATAGTATCTTAAAGTGGGAATTCAGAATTCTCCATTTGAGCGCTGTGAACCGAAACAGGCAACAGCTCATTGGTGCTTTGAGTTTTCAAACAGAATATTTTCATTCTGTTTAGATTATGAGTTTGCAATTAGTGGGAACTTGAAAGAGGTTTTTAAGAAGCAAGTAGAAAGAGATCCCTAGAAATTTAAGGATTTCTAATACTGTCCATTATATGTAACCTGTGCTTGGAGTTCTGTTGGGAATAACAATCAGCACTGATTCTACTCCAGTTGCTAACAGAATTATCTTTAAAGCTGTTTTCTCAGTTCTAATACTATGAAATGCCACAAGAGACCAAACCTTCCGATTCTCTCACAACTGTTCTGCAATAGAAACAGTCAGGGATTTTTTTTTTTCCAGTAGGTTTCAAGCTTCTTTCTACTTGGTAGATGAATAAAAGATAAACACTACATATTTCATACAGTAGACAGACTGTTCAAGTGAGATGGGGGGGGAAAGTACCCCAGAACAGGCACACTCAGCACATATTCTTGGCTCATAATTGGATCAACATTCAGGAAAGAATGGTTTTTACATTCCTTTAAATTCTCTCACAGATGTAGTAACAAATAAGAGCTTTAAAAATAATTATAGCGGAAAGGCAAGCAGCAGTAGCGAAACCTGCTCTGCTTTTTGCCATGGAGAGATGTGTTCTTCCTCTCCTATTTTGGGTCTCAGACCTCATGTTCTGTAGCCTAGGGGGAGCTTCCAGTGCAGTCACAGCAGGTACATGATGTCAAAATAGCACCTTAGGACAACGTGTCAGTAACTAGTTTTAAAATAAAGTTAAGGAAAAGGACAAACTACAAGGAGGTAGATTCAGACTAGATAAGGAAGAAATTTCTTACAACCAATGGTGGTGAAACACTGGCACAAGTTTCCCAGAGAGGTGGTGGATGCCCCATCCCTGGAAGTGCTGAAGGCCAGGAAGGATAGGGCTCTGAGTAACCTGATATGCAGAAGATATCCTTGCCCATGGCAGAGGAGTTGGACTAGATGACTTCTAAAGATCCCTTCCAACCAAAATAGTTTTGTAACTCTGTGAAGAAGCAAACAACACATGCTTACTCCTGACATAAACTGCAACTAGCATGTTCTAGGAAGTCAAATAGGAGGGTTTTCATTAGAAGATACAGGATTGGTATCTCTCAGACTTTGCCTTCCTCAACAGTTAACAAATCTTTAATCCCCAAAACAGCACCAGGAGTTAAAACTGAAATAGTGGAAATCATCTTCTTTCTTCTCCTTCACACCTTTGACCAGTTATACCATATTTTACTACTGGCAACAGCGTCAGGAAGGGTTTGGTGTGTTCCTGGGGGTGTGTGCGTTGTCCCCCTGCCCCAATACTTTAGTTACAGGCAATGATTTCTGACAGCAGATCATAAATTCTGTCAGAAGTTGCTTTTCCTAACGCTGGTAATCCCCTAAGCCATCTCCTTTATCTTGTGTTGTGTGGAATGCTGTTTCCTTAGAGAAACTGGTACTTCCATCTCCCTGCAAACTGCCAACAGCTCCTGAAGTGAGAGGTCAGAAAGGAAGCAACATTTGCAAAACTAACACTTTTCTTCCAGCCACTCCTAGAAAGACTCGAATTATCTTACCTAAAGATGTCCAGAACATTTCCACAACAAATAGAGATCAAGGGTGGAAGTTTCTACCCTGGGTAGCTGGGATGTGCCAATTGCAAGAAGAAAACCAAGGCAATAAGCAGGAAGTTTCATGCAAGCTCTGCTACAGAGGCATGGCAAACAAAGAAGCCGTGGGGGAGACTTTTATCTGTCAGGGATCCCTCACCACTTCTCTGCCCAGCATCCTTTCCCCCAAACACACTGCAAACTGAAAACGGATGGAAGCGAGATTAAGCAAAGGAGGAGGGGCAGGGAAGGGGCAATGCTGCTTAGAGGCACCTATGGGGGCTTGAGCTACAATGACAGGGGGGCCTTCTCCCTCTGCCGCCCACTCCCGGCCGTGGGCGGGCTCGAACCCGCGTCGCGGCGGCCCCGCAGTGCTCGGCCGGCTGCCAGGCTGCGCGGAGCTCCCGCCGCGGGGCCGCGGCCCCGGCTCAGGTAAGGCGCGCTGGGCTCGGGAACGCGGCACCTCCCGCCGGGAGCCTGTCCCCTGCACCGCTCCTCTCCCGGGGCACTCCTGCCTTCCCTTCTGATCCATCCCCCTCCGCTCAGTTGTGTCTGTTTTGGTTTTGTTGTTGTGGTTTTTTTTTTTTTTTTTTTTTTTTTTTTTTTTTTTTTTAAATTTTTAATTTATTTTTTCCTCTCTGAGGTATGGTTATTTTGCTGGATTAAAATAACTCAGAATAACTCAAATGTCTATTAGTGAAATAGGTCAAATCGAAGAAGAGAGTGTCTCCCCAAAAGCCTTCAAAATCTCCTTTTTTAAGAACAGTGAATGGCACTTGGAGAAACTTCTCCCAGAAAGATAATGTAAGAGCCAGCTCCCATTTCCCCCCTTCTCCAATTCCCTAGCAAGTCTGCACATCTCACCTCAAATGAATATGTGGATGAACAATGTGCTAGTACTTAAAAAGATGTATAATATTTAAATGAAAGCAGATCATGTTGATTAAGCCTGTTGTTGGGCACCAAGTAATGAAGAAAGGGAATACTTGAATTGAATGAGAGCATTTTATTTCTCTAGCAGGCTTTTTTTTTTTTCTAATTATATAAAAAATCAACTGCCTATATACACAATGTCTATTGAAACTTTATAAATATGGTTCTTAAAGGTTGTTCTTCATCATGACAACTCCAAGTAGTTCTAATGACCTGTCATAGAATAAAGCTAAAGAAGTTTGTACTTAAAGGAAAGGAAGATCCTGCAACAGTCACACACTTACCACATGGGAAGATTAGTTAAATCTGTATCAGTGGAAAAAATATCAAATACATATTTTATTGGAAAATGCTATTTGCTTTCAAAGCTGCTTGTGTGATTTCCTCTTAGACTGAATTCCTGATTACTTTGAGCTCAGTTCCACATTTTAGTCAGAATAACTCCTCTGACTTCAACTTTAACGGTACAAAAGTGTGCAGCTGAGCCCAGGATATTTAACTTTGACAACATTCACATTTTTGTGTGGTCGTACAATTAAAAGCATTTTTTCCTGGGATTATAATTTGCTAAAATATATGATTCTTCTGAGTAGTTTTAATTATATTCATTTGTAATTTCAAATACAAGAGCTTCCTTGATTGTAAAAACCCTAAACTGCTTTGAAAATGGATTTTCTCCTTTCTGGTCTTTCATCCTGTTTCACTGCTGAGAATGGTTAGTTTGTAAATCTGGTTACAGGACATTTACCAACTCAGTGATGAATTAGACCTTGGACTCAAACTGAGAAGCGTTCGTTTCAGGACTCAGAAAAATAAAACTTTTTCTAGAAGGTTTCAGACATGCATAACAATAGGAAAACCAGAAAAATCTATGGTTCAAATTCACAACTTGCATGGAAAAAAAAAGGCATCACTGGGGTAGATTCCCTCCTTTCTTCCCCTTTCCCCCCAAACTAACAAGTCTTTGCAACTGCAAACAAAATTAATTGCAGACCAAGGGACTGATTTTCTGTCGTACATCTCAAAGGCACATTGCAAAATATTCAGTGAGGAGAGGAGATGGATATGATTGAGCCTAATCTGCTACCGCAGGGCTATTATTTTTCCCTCACGGTCTCGAGCATGTGTTCAGTGACATAAATTGACATGACCCTCATTCTCCCATGCCAGAGGCTGCATGGAAGGAAGCTGCAGGCACAATAGTTGGGTCCTGGATAGTTTCTGCAATTTGAGACTGTGAGCTTTGCTTAGGCATTCATCAGGGTCTACGTGGGGAGACTCTCCTCCAGGTTAAGGGTTAGAATATTCTAGATCTGTTAACTTTCATAAGGAACAATAATTTAAGCTGACATCAGAAAGACAGGATTTCATCTGTCTTTTCAAATCAAGTTGTTATTTTCTTAATCCCAACCAGCATATTCTGTCCAATCTTCTGGATTTTCAAATATTTATATTAATCATGTCTGTTTTGATAGTGCCCAAACAGAACTGTCTCCATGTTTGCTACAGGCTATAAAACCACGTTGCCCTGCTCTGTGTCAGTAGTGAAGTCTGGTATCAGTGCTGCAGTAGCTCTATATCTGCTCTCAGCCCACACTTGTGGGTAAGCTTTAGAAACCTAGTGACCTAAAGTGCTCACCTAGACAGCTGTGAGGTCTCAGATGGTTGATGGAAGACCACCCAAGCCATCAGTGTGAGCCACAGTGTTTGCACCTCCCTGCACAGTCAAAACCTTTGTAAAGGTGCCTTTGAGGTTTCATTCATCATTTGCAGCCTCTGAAGGTTACCTACCTCTGACTCAACCCAAACCCACTCATCCATTAAACTGCAGGAAAACAGCCTCTCTGCTCTATTGAAGCCACATGGGTGGGCTGTGACTTGTGACTGTCAGACTAGTGTGGCAGAAGATAATCCCTGTCTACAGGATTGGGTGTGGGGGTATCTGAAAGTATTGGCATACACCTTAAAAAGGCAGTGAAAGTCTCAGATTTTAGAGACCTGTAGTTTGGTACAAGAAGACCCAAACATTTGCAGAGTTATGTAGAGGTCCAGCTGCCCAGACAACAGAACTGTGATGTACAGAGCAAAAGATTTAAGTAACAAAGTCTACATACACGTCTAAACAACCATTAAGAACCCCATACACTTATGATTTGTTTGGATAATTACAAACGGCAGTAAACATCAGCCATGACTCAAACACCACTAATCTGCTAAACTTTTGATTGTGAGCTCCCTAATACCATGTTTAGGAACAAAGTGGAGATAGTTCACTGCCTTTTTTAACTAGAAAATAGCCTGTATAACACATTTGCTATAGATTTGTTAATAGATATAAGCAGAGTTCATAATGAGCACTAGCTTTAAACAGTTATATGAACACATTTGTTTCTTAAAATCTATTCTGTGAATGCTTATTACCACATCCATTTCTGTACATTGTTGAAACCTTTCAGTTCAGTGTTATGCTGGTTGGAAATAGGACATCTGGCACTTGCCTCATGAAGGTAACTCCTAGAATTGTATTGTCATCCTAAACACCCAGTTGTTATGCATCTGAAATTCATTTTCCAGAAAAACCGCATAACACTAACAGCATCTTTGCCAGTTATTTCCCAGCTAATCCACAATATGTAATCTGTTCAAAATGCACGGAGTGAAAACAACAGATAAACATATAAAATAATCCTATTATAGGGTATGCAAGTTACTCTAAGGCTTTGATGTTCATGAAATTGATAGTGCAGGGAACTTGGCAAGAAATACAGAGCTCAATCTAGAGCACCAAATGTCTCTAACAATTAGACAGTACTCATATACTTAATTATGTAAATATTAATGGCTAGTCCTTACTCCTTTTGTGGTTAGACGTGCTGATACTAAAAAAAAAATTTAAAATGGCTGCAACAAAAGATTTGTTTGACTTTGATTCTGACCTTCCAGAAGGTGTATTTTGAGGACAGTGATTTTACAAATAATGTAACTTGTACATTATTTGTGACATTGAAATAAGTGAGTTGTTGCTGATACAGCCTGAAATCTTGCTGTACTATTTTTTTTTTTAATAAACAAACATATTTGTGATACAGATTTATTTGGGAAAGTTTTAGACTCTCATGAAATGCCTTATACATATATAAATGATTTTTAATTATGGAGTTTCACTTACAGGCCATTTTACTACATCAGAGAAGCAGTTTTCATTTCTGGTAAATCTTAAATTCATTCTACTTATTTTAACAATATGACCTTCTGTTGTTGAACAATATCTTTGACAAAACATCGCAGAGCATAGAACTTGAGAACATGCTTTCAGATTGGAGTAACTTCCCAAGTGTTTCCTTGAGAAAGTGACACTTTCTATTACCTGGCACATGTGCCAATTGTATTGATCAGAACATTATAGCATAACTAGAATCCAGTATTTCACTTTGAACTATTGCCAGATACAGCACCAGTAGAGACCTAACATCCATCCAATTGCTAACATAACACTGTCATAACAGATGGCTCCTGTACTGCCTGTCTGTTAAGAAAACATGACAAGACAGCTACTTTCCAATCCTACTTTGATTACTTCCCCAAGGAGACCTACATGGTTTATGCCTATGCTAGGCAAGGTCAGATGTGCCTAAGGTTTAGAAACAAGCTAGCTGGTATGCCAAAAGCCAGTTTGTCAGCCAAATAAGAGGGTGCCCCTTGTAATAGGATGCACACACATGCATTTGTCCACTTTCATCAGTCAATTCTCCAGTTAGACCTGGAGTTTTGCTGCTGCTGTGTTTTATTCCTTCTTTCTAATTTGCCCCATTAAAAAAACTCTCTTGTTACTTTTTACTCAAGCTGCAGACTCTGCAGTATTAATCCTAAAAAGAAAAATTATTTTCATGTGTGAAAATTTTGCATTTCCTTCTCTTTCATGATCTGTATATTTCAGGGACACTTAGGAAGTATCACGAAACTACAGCTATTATAAACAGGCATCCAGATTAACAAAGACAGATAGCACAGCACTTTATTCCAGAAAGTGCTTTCTGTTAGTGGCTACTGTCAGTCTGTTGTATGCAGTTGACTTTTCCAAGCCGTGGTGGTTTTGGCTGGGGTAGATTTACTTTTCTCCACAATAGCTGGTATGGGGCTGTGTTTTGAATTTGTGCTGAAAACAGTCCTGATATTACAGGGAAGTTTTAGTTATTGCTGAGCAGGGCTTGCACAGAGCCTTTTGTGCTTTTCACATCACCCCACCAGTGAGGAGGCTGGAGGTGCACAAGAAGTTGGGAGGGAAAACAACTGGGACAGCTGACCCCCAACTGACCCAAGGGATATTCCATGCCATATGGTGTCATGCTCAGAATATTATGTTGGGGGAATAAGGGGTGGGAGATGGGTGGCACTCAGAGTGACGGCGTTTGTCTTCTCTAGTCACCATCACACATGATGGAGCCCTGTTTTCCTGGGGATGGCTGAACACCTGCCTGCACCCATGGCTTTTGCTTTACCTGTTAGATTCTCTTTATCTCAACCAATGAGTTTTCTCACTTTTATTCTTCCAGTTCTCTCCCCACAAGGCAGTAGTGAGTGAGAAACTGTGTGGGGCTTAGTTGCCAGCTGAAGGGAAATAAATTGTTTTCTGTGTAACTTGGAAATTAAAATAGTAAGGAAGACCGATCAGAACAAGAGAAGCCAATGAAAACGGCAATACAGTGTCAAGTGCCAATTTAATAAAAGCAAGGGTAGGAGTGAAGAATGATAGAAGAATCTGCAAGTGACAGTGGCATTTTGGGGCCATATCCTGTAGGTGTTTTTCCTTTTTTTTGTCTGCCTCTCTACTTTTAATCTTATCTTGTAGCTGCCTTCCATTTCCCCACTACCTTTCTCCCACTGAGTCCTCAGTATTTCCAGCTTTCCATCATTTCCCTGCCAGTTGGTTCATATTGATCTAACAAACAGAGGATGAAGTAAAGAATATAAAATCTCACTGGTTACATTGCAGTTCTAGTAGACAGTGCAAGTAGGAGAATCCAAAGCAGGGGAGGTAGTTGTACTTCCCTGGCACTGTGGGTGAATTGCTTCTGACTTCCTAGCTGCTTTTCAGTCAAGCATTTAAAGGCACTATCATTCAACAGTTTGGATCAGGAAGTAAAATGCAACTGCAATGCTAATTCAGCTGATATTCTAAAACCCACCATCTGCTTTTTATTTTAAGATAATTCTACACACGGTTTTAGATGCCTGCAGTAACAGCCATGGGAATTCAGGCATATGGCTACTACCATATGACAAAGTGTATTATCTAATAATTTTTAGTCTTTCCCATGCATCCACTTGCACATAAGATATTTTGGTATAACAGGCATCTCATCCTTTGATTCATTCACACAAAATTCACTTCCAGTGAAATTTTAGGATACTACTACTACCTCTGCCAGCTGTCTGCCTCATCCCATTTCAATCTCAAAGGTTTGTGAAACTTGCATAATTCACTTTTCCTGTCATGCTGAAGATAATAAATACTGAATTCCCAAGAGAAATGCCAAAACATTAGATAGCATTTACAGTCCTAATCTGATGTGATTAAAAGTAGAAAAGTGTTGTTGTCTAATGGTATGAGAAACTGGGGCAGATTTTTTACCTTCACCTCAATTCTTAATGATATGTTTAGAACATGAAGATGTGTCAATATATGTATAATAGTCTGGACATCATGAAGTCTGTCTAGTTAAACCAAATGGCTCAATATTCTTTGCAGAAAACAAGTTGTGTCTTTTTCTAGGCTCTGTGAGAGAGGAAAATATTATGGGTTCTGCTGAACTAGTTTTAAATACCAGTAGTTACATAGGTACACATAAGCAAGAAGTAATCCTGCTGTGAATGTATAGTATTTGACAAAGAAATGCATGACAGGAAAGGTCCAGATGTGCAAACATGCCAAGAGGCAGGCTTTTCAACAGAACAAACCAGCTCAGTAAGCCCCATAAAAAAGGGGCAGCAGAGAAAATGTGTGCGTGCATGCAAGCGTGTACACACATGCAGCAGAGATTTATATATCCAGGTTAAGTATTAGCTGTGAAACCTCTTAAGACTTCAATAGCTGCCCAGTCCTCTTCCGTGACTGGCATGCAGTGTCTCTTTGCAGTGATGCGATGCCAGTTGACATGGCAATTAGATCTCTTGATTAGTATTTCTTGTATAGAAATTACAGATGCTGTCCTTCCTGTTATTTCCACGCTCTCTCTTCCTGAGCATACAAAAGTAATCCATGCACTGTAGTATGGATTTGACCTTTCATATGTTAAAGACCAAAATTCTCCACCCCATCCTCCCATAAAATTGCTGTACTGGATGTTGGTAAAGATCTAAAGGTAAACCAGCTGCTTTAGAAAGAAATCAGTAATCAGCCCACTCCTTTTGATCTTCAGTACTGTAAAAGCTAAAATCAAATAAGTACGGAAATATCCATAGGTTCCCTTAATCTCTTTATAAAGGATCTTCAGACATATTAGGAGCTCATAGTAGCAATTTAAAAGCTAAATGTAAAAGCAGCTTTATGAAGTACTTATAAAGTCGGTAAGAGGCTTTTTATTTTTAGCGTATTTTCCTGTGAGATAAACGTAATGAATGTAGAAAGCATCCAAGCCCAAAATGAGACACACAAAAGAGATCCCACGATCTGCACCAGGAGTGTTACAGAATCAGCATGTAGAGAGCCATGTTCTGACAACACCATCTGCCCATTTGTGCTGTTTTTTCCTATTACCAGCTCTCTTCACGTCTCATGCGTGATTTTCTGTGGAAGTCAGGAGGAGTATATGATTTATTTTGACATTAATATTTATCAGGCTGGTGTATGCCTAAAGTATCAAAGATGCTGAGAATGTTTACTCGTTTTAAAAGCCATTTAAATGGCTTTCCTTTTTCTTTGGAGACATTAACAACTCATTTTGTCACTTCACTGTTACGTAAAAGTCATGTACCATTCACGTGGCATTAATTTAAGTAAATACCACTAGTATTACTCTTACTAGAACTACAGACTGAATGGAAAATTACTTTGGGGTTAAAAAAGTTTGCTAACATTTTGCATTGGTTACTAAAGGATGGTGAAACAAAGCTTCAAGTTGCGAAGCTTCAAATTCTTTACTAGTAGCAATTTATTGGGAAATTAAACTGCAAGATACTCCTGCAAAACTCATTCTGGACACTGAAAACATTATGTTTGATTGTCCCTTCCTAAAACCTGCAACAGATATTTCATTTTTATTTATTAACATTTAAATATTATTTTGCAGATTCTCGGTAGGTAACATTCCTGTCATGTGGGGTTTTTTAGAGTTTTGAAGCAAGTCTGAAAAATAACATTTCTCTGCTCCGATGAAATATAGCAAAAGTGTGCACAGTCTGTGAATTTCAGATCTGTTGCATGACTGCATTAAACTATGGATTGATACTCTTTTCAAGCAGAAGTGGATTACAGAGCTGACAGATTACTTAAAATAACCATTCTGGATGTGAATCACACTGACAAAAGCAAAGAAATCCCATTCAGAAGAAAACATCTTGCCTCAGCCAAACATTCTCAGAATGTGGATGCTTATATATGATTATTTATATAGGGTCAAAGGATTTTTTTTTTTTAATAGCTAGAGGTAGAAGCGTGTCATTTCATTTTTTCTTGTAAACAAAAGGATTAGCAAAGTTACATATCATAGGTATGGATACTACCCATGAACCTGAGATGTTGCTCTTAAACAGCTCTGTGTTCTGTGATGGGGTTATGTGTTTCCATTACAAGGAGTGCACTGACGTGCCAGAGATGCACTCATTTACAAGCATGAATAGGAAAGAAAAAATTCAGTGTTTGCAATTCTCCTGCACATGATTACATTATTTTTTATATATTTATGTATAATATATATATTTATATTTTTAGCAATTTTCTTAATATTTAAAGGACAGAGGCAAAAATGAAAGAGCTATAGGTTACTGGAATGCATGTTCTATTGGTAAGTTAAATAAATCCTGATGCCATCTCTTTTTTTTAAGTTTTGAGAGTTTTCTAATCGATGTGGATATTTACCAATACATTTATAGTAGAAGCCATTCAAGATACAAGTGTTGAAAACCTTGGGAAATTAGTGTATTTGGAAAGCAAATACGTTGTAGAACATTACCTCTGTACCTTTTGTTTTTAGGAGCCACAAGAACTTCTGAAACAACTTGTGACAATGTATAGTCTTAAGTGCTGCAGTCTGAGAGCCCTTTTTCTATTGATCCTCTATAGGTAAGAATTATTTGCTAAAAAATATTATTTCTTCAATTTATAATATTATCTGTTATTTTATAATAAATTTACCTATAATTAGAAAGATATCTGACCGGGTAACAAAGTTAAATCCTCTTGACAGTTGAATCTTGTCTCTTACAAATATTAAAGAACCAGGGTATTAATAACAGAAATACAGGACTGAACTTCATGAATCTCAGCTGCCTGGATTGAGTTACAGATTTTTTTAATTGGAAACATGGATAGGGAAAAAAAGAATGAAATTTAACTTAAACAAATGATCCATTGGATGGAGGATGACTGGGTAGAGAGTGTGAATAGCATTTCAGATGCTAAACAAATTTAGACGAGCACAAGGTCCTTGCCTGTAGCATAGTACCTTGCCCAAGGACAGAAGCACACCGTCCACCTGGATTTACTACAAGCTTGAGATAGTAAAGTCATCATTGTGCACTAAAAGGAGAGTATCTTAGAAAGAATTACCTCTGTAAAATACTGTTTTCTTAGTCTCTGTCGATGAAATTGTGAAGTCTTGAGGAAATCTGAGTTGTGTTAAGCTGGAAAGTGAAAATGATCCCTTCTGTGTACAAGCAACCCTTCTAAAAGTGTAGTTGCCATGACAAAAAAACTTAAGATAGAAATGGAGCACTTAAAATATATTGCTGATATAAAAATGGGGAAAAGTATTCTTTATAAGTAATTCTAATAAGAAAATGTAAGCATGGATGGTTAAACATTGTCACCATCAGCTTCAACTGAAGTATTTAAAGCCTGTGAGCCAATTCTCTATCTAGAATTGCCTAACCTACTTCATGTCTCACTAAATTCCTCAATATAAGATTCAGCCTGAGCTTTAGCTCAAGTGGGTGTGCAAACAGACTTTCACTCAGTTGTAGGGGCAGGTGGAACAGTCTGCTGAAAGGGAGTTTAAAGCATCTACTTCCCCCACCTTTTTCAGTACTATAAAGAGGTCTTTGTCCAGAACACACTTGCTCTAATTCCACTTTCCTTCCTCATCAGCTGAGACTCGCCACATTCTGTAATAACTAGATGACTTATGGCTTAGCAATAATAAAACATTGCTAGGAGATTAACAAAATTTCAGAAGCATCTAAGTAATAAGGAGGCAAAATTCCCCCAGAAGCTCAGCCTGTGGTATATAGTTGCCTTCATTATTATCAGACAGACTTTATGAATTTTCTTACAGCTTCATATGGCTCTGAGTATCCAGAAGCACAGAGTTCATTCCTGTGTAGTATCCATGGGAGTCACCTGAATGCACAACACCTGTTTAGCTTAGATACACGTGCACTGCACTGAGCTGATGTCGTCCTGTTGCACCCAAATCCAAACACAGGCCGAGAAGCAGCTCTGTCCCTTGGTTATCTCACAGACAAGATGATGCTTAGGTATACAAATGCATTTTTCCAGTGCAGAGGTGTTTGTGAAAGTGCTGTTTAAAACAAAAACGATCCTGCTTGGCACTAAAACACAGAAATATTTCTGAGCAATATCCAAGGGCTGAGGTGCACCCAAAGCAAGGAACATGATTTCTCCCCAAGTGGTCCCTTAGATAACCCACCTGTATAAGCTCTGGTTAATGTGTGAAGAGAGTTTCCTCTAGTGAGTACTTTATAATCAGTAATGGTGTGGGGTTGTTTTTTTTCCCTCTCTGTCTCTCCCTTCCTGAATGAGACTTCTTAACTTCACTTTCAGCACTTGACATTAAATTACATTACAATCACATCAAGGGCCTATTTTTAGTATTAAAATCTATATCTGGGGAGTAGCCCAGAAGTATTTTTAATTTTTTTTAAGTAGAAATGAAAAAATTGAGGCAAATTTATCTGAGTAGTCAATAGAACACGCAGTTCAAATCATTATCAGGAATCAGCTTAAGTAAATGTATGCTATGTAGTCCTAAGAAGGGCTCTCATTTGTTTCAGAAAGAGTGTTTTCAAATTAAAGAATGTTAGCCTGGGTTTATGGAGCCAGAGATAGAAAATTCTGTGGGATGTTTACTTCTTTTTTGTTTTTTGACTGAGTTTAAGAGCACATATGTCACTTCAGTGTTTGTTCCTGTATCTGGTAGGTGGTAGCATAATACTACAGTTTCAACCTCACCATTTAACAAAAAAATGGTGACAGTACTGTCTGTTTTGCAGAGAATTAATCAGTGATGTAGTAGATTTTGCTACAGTTTATCTATAAAGACCATAAAAAAACCTTATCGTTGAGCACAAGTATGAAACCAGAAGTAACACCTTTATTTACATCTGTAAACCCTTTTCCTGACAGTGAATTGCCTGAAATAAAGCTTTTTTTATTCTTGTTTTCCTGAGGGGAGTGCTTCAAAAGCTTGCTCAGACTGTATCTGGCATTTTGTTTATCTTCCCTCAGTTCTAAGGTGTTTCTGTCTCTTTCATGATACATAACTTCTGACAAAAAATAGCCAGGAAAAATATTCTCGTACACATGTCTAGACTGTACTTTTGTTTAAAGTGGTGATATATACTATGGTTTACAGCAAATGTTCCCTCTTTCCCCTCCAGTTACCCCATTCTGTTAAGACTCTAACTTGAAAGTGTCTTAAATAACAAGCAGTTGTTGTACCTTCCAAGTTTAGCCAAGCCCATAAAAATACTAAGTTTTTGAGCCATAAGAATAACTAGGGAAAATAAATAATTGCAATTCAGATTTTATGAAAGCAAGCATAGGTCATTGAACCTGATGAGTTAAAGCATTTAAAGCACTGACAGCCCAGAACAGATAGATATTCCCAGCTGACAAATATACGCAGTTTGGTTCTGTAAAAGCATGTTCTCTCCTCAGTGGCTGGAACAGCTGTTTCAAGGCAATTCCATACTTAAATGCATGCCAGTGTATCTCACATACATTAAGAAAATGAAGGAACTAAAACATCATCTGCATTTAACTATAAAACATATAGTTAAATATAACAACAGAAATACTGGGTAAAAGAGAAGCTTAGATGAATTGATGAGAAGATGCACATGCATAAGTGGAATCAATCTCAGCTTTTACTTCTATCCTTTGTGAATGTTTGGAGCTGTGAGCTCACTCTTGCTTAGCAATGAAGAGAGGACATGAATCAAAGAGCGCTTTAAAGGAAACAGAGCATCATCCCTTAAAACACAGAAAAGCCAAACCCCTTAAGGCACATAACTTCTGTAGATTCCTTGTCTTTCAACACTGACAATCTGCTTCTGAGCATCCCCAAAGTTACCAGGATGGTAACACCACACACATTTAGGAGGCATCAGGTTCCACTCACACCTATTGGCTTATAGGTCTTCTCAAAGGTTGTAGCACACAAGGGACAGTGCCTTGTTAATTCAGAGCCTCAATTACTGCACAACATCTTTCCCAGGCCAACAAGTTCTTACTTAACCATAACATTCAAAAGACCAGTGATACAAAGCTACACATCATGTTTTAATGAGGAGAATCATGAATTATCTCAAGTAATTTAAGGGAAGGACTTTCATAAAAAGTTTTAAAGCTATATTTCAGAAAATAGCTGTTAACGGTAATGAATCAGAGCTCTCTACAATTGCATACTGATCAGCAGAATAATATTATACCCTTGCAGTGGAAAAGAAACAAGTTTTCCTTTATGTTTCACAGTGTGTAAGACTTATTCAAGAACAATCCAGTTCTGCTGTGAAATTAAACTCATGCAGGTCACTAAACACTCAGCTAAAATCTATATGTAAATTACAAAAGCCTATATATCAATTAGAAGTACAGTATTTAAGAAATCAATTACATTCAAGTACATTTCCAATTTTAACACCTTTGTGCAACATAAAACAGGTGTCTTTAGATTCATATTTCAACTCAATTTGAGGTGTGTTTGTTTCTTTAGGACAAAACTTACAGGAGAAACTTCCCTTATTTCAATGCTGGCATTACTCAAGACCACTCTTAAGATTGAGTAAAGTAATAACATAGTTCTCTAGCAATACAGAAATAAAAAAAACAGGGACAAAATAAGGGAGAATATAGGACTTCAAATATCTAAACTATATGTATTACAAGGCAGCTAATGAAAAACAGCTACTTCTGTGGGAATAGGGTCTGGTGAGCAGAAAATTACACAGCAATAGCAGCACTTCAGGCCAGTGGACACCACATCTAAAACCACAGTGTGATTTGGCCACGCGCATTCAGTGAGATCATCTTAGCATTTAAGCTTTGCCAGTTTAAGATACTGGATTATTCCTAGTGGATGAAAACCACAGTTTCCTGACAGAACAACTCAAACTTTCTCAGAAACAGAACAAAATTAAAAACAAAAGATCAAACTTTGGCAAGCTACAGAAGACCGAGAACTATAATGCAGAAGAACAAGCAGAGTTTTCAGGAGTAGCTCTAAGAAAAGCTGGGAATAAGAAATTCAGTGAGGATTTAGCAGTATTAAGAAAGACCACAAAATACTGGTATCCCCTTACCTATTTGTTTCTTCTCCCCAGGGCCAAACCACCACAGCTACAGCTCTTGATACCTACTGTAGGAGAGCTAAGGGGCAGAGCTAGTCACTTTTAGTGACCACTCAGTTCTCATGCAAGGAAGTAAAAAACAGAGATCCCCTCTCCTGATAAATATATAGGTCTCTCCATCAGCAGAGACAATGCCTCTGCTTGCAGCCAGCTGAGCCTCAGTGAGTCAATCAGTTGTCTGCTTCTCACCTTCATAATTCGTACCCCACTTTTCTCAAATCATTGGCAACAAGTGGTCAGTACCATTTGTGTTTTAATTAATGAAGAGCACAGCCTGAATCTGTGATGGGTGAGCACACCCTGCTCACAGTCTTGGGGTGCTCACCTTAGGGGTTAGGTAGAAATTAAGAGCAAGGTTATAATATCTTTTACTGTGGGACTGCTTCATCATCAGCATCACGGCTGGGCTTTGTGAACGAAGATTTGGGAAGGGCTTTACCCACATTTGCTACAAGTGCGCTGGTGGCTAAAGAGGCCAATGTGAGATAGACAGGTCTGGTTGCAAAAGGCTGTGGGACTGCTACCTAGAGTGTAACAGCCCCTAATGGCCACAAGTGTCCCCCCACAGCTGCTAACCATTAAGGCCTATAAAAGGTGAAGAGGGATATACAAAAATGAATCCTGAGGGAGTCTGAGTAAAGAGTTGTAATTTTGGTATATATCCTCCTTAGACTCTTAATTCATCTAACGACTGTCATGTCCTGAACCCCCCATGGGACCATTGCAGGGACCCCAGGGTAAAAATGGGGTTCGTAATTCTTTATATTTACTTCTATGGATTGTATTTGTAGCTGTTTCTGAACAAACAAGGTATTTGAATTCTTACTATGCTTCGCTGACTTTGCCCAAAAGGATTATTTCTATAACCTATTTAAAAATTGTGTTGTGAAAGCAGAATTTTAAGAGTGTTTTTATGCACTAGTCTCTGACGTTGGTTTCTCTCTCTCTCTGAGAGCTAAATGTAATGTATTTCATTACGTAAAAAGAAGCTTAATTTTAAATACTGAAATAAACAGTCATTATCTCTTCCACATTCCTAGATTATAACAATAATGCTCTGTTTACAGATAAAGTATTAAAGTAGATTGTTTCTCAGGTGAAGAGTTAAGAAATAATAAAATTTAAAGAAGCTATAGACTTTAAGCTATGAAAGTGATATTTTTTTCCTATAAGAGACTAATGTAGATTATGAAATCTGATATTTTCTGGAATTTTTATTTTACAGTGCTGCAAAATGCTAACATGCATCTACTTCATAATATGTTGTCTGATGGACAGTAGTCAACAGTACCCTTGAAACTAATACAGCATTTTCTTGGAATGTCATCTCTGCTATAGTTGATAATGTCTTTTTAAAACATCCTCATTTTCAATTGCTTTTAGGTCAATGCAAGTTCCTGAAGCTGAAGGAAAAAGTGAAATTCTACCTCCAACTATACAAAAAATAATAAAAGGATACAACAAGTATCTACGTCCATTTTTTGATAGTAAGTAGAAAAGCTCTTTCAATAAGACTGAGCCATAACATAATGTGGTGTCTAAAACTCAGCAGTGAGAGCAAATGGTTTTTTTCTGTACTTTTTTCTTTCTCTGTGTTTTACAGTGACTGGTCTGATTATACATGTTCTATGATATAAGTGTAATAGAAGTGTAATAGCTTTTGTGACTTAAGGTGAAACTTATATATTCCAGGCATTCACAAGCTAAACTTCCAGACCCTGTTAGAAACCTGTCTATCATTCTACGTTTCTTTATGAAGTAGCTGTAACATCTTGCCTATTTAAAAGCATAATTTCCTCTGAATTCCTAAACAATAACTATAAAAATCTTTGATTAAAGATTAGAAAGCTTTATATATCAAACTGTTTCACAATAGCAAAGGCAAATCTTGTTGCTATGTGAAGTATGACATGCGTCAACTATAAGATCGCAAGAGAATTATTTAATAAATGATTCTTGCCTCAGGTCGTAAAGGTCACTGGACAGATATACTGCAAAACTATGGGGGAAAATGAATTGAAAATGTCAGTTCCCTGCATCAGAAGGCGATGGTCACCAAATTGGAAGACCCACATAGTCCACTGCACCAAGGCTGTTTTTACTGCCCTGCAGTGCAGTCAGCTGGACACCTGAAATCTCAGTGACAAACATCTTCCTTGCTTGAGTCAGGCTGTTGCATACACCAGAAATACTGAAGAGTTGTGAGGTGGCATGAAGATCTCTTTCTGGAGAAACTGCAGAACTCTGAAGAAGAAAATATTCTGAATGTTGAAAAGACGCTCAACAGCATGTGTCTGTCAGAAAATAAACTTGCAGGCTGAATGCTAGGCAATAGTTTTTAAGCTAGATATTCAGAAGTGTTCGAGGTTTCAAATGAAGATTTTTACATCCCTCTATATATTGCTTAAAATAATTGACTAAAGAGTTTCTCAAACCATACTGTTACCTCTTGCTATCTAAATACCTGGTTCCATAAAGGTACTCTACATCATGTGCAACTTCTGAATTTGTTTCATAAAAATATTAAGATACATCTATATTTTAGGATAAATGAAAACTATTTCATCTCTTTGTTTTTATGGTAATTGTCTCAGCTGAGGATACAACTGCTATAAAATATTTAATGCTCTAAGGAGATTTTCAGAAATATAAAAGTAACTCTAATAAATAAACTAACCCTTTCTCACTGGAGATAATTCATAATGTAAAATAACTGTGTTTGGTGGCCATTAATATATTTTATTCATTACTTAATGTTAGTACTAGAAATTCATTGGCACTGCTGTGATTCACGTGCTTCGGTAGACAGGAGAGTTTCATTGCAAAATCCTAGGATAGCAATTAAGACCAACAGTAAAGCACTTTTGAGTTACAAATCTCCCTTTCCTCAGGTTTTTTTTTTCCCCCCAACTGTTTTATTGCAGCAAGGCTGTAGTTCCTTTTTTCTGGCTGGGTGCTTTGTTCAGAGAGATGCTAAGGACACTGTTTGCCTGGAAATCCCAGAGGGGCTCAAGCACTGATCAAGTCTTAGTCACACACAGAGCCAGTCTAGCACCTCCAGACAGTGCCAGCGTTGCTGCATATGCTCACTGCAGCTCAGGCATGCAAACACTGCCTCAGAAATCTTTGATGGATCTTTATTAGCCCTAGTGCTGAAGGAGTGAGATGACACTGAAAAAATACATTTTATTGATGCCATTTCTAAATGCACGGTTGTTGGTTTTGTGAGAAATAAGTTTGTAGGAATAATTTAGGTTAAGTCAGGAAATGCTCATCCTAGTTTTTGAACCTGTAGCTTTTTGCAAGATCATTTGGGATCACTTTCCACGTGATAGAGGCATGTGCTTGGGCTGGGAAGTGTATCTATCCAGCCCTAGCCCCTCTCTGTTACTGGCAAGGTGGGCTGCACCTCTCATGAGATTCAGGTCCAGAAGCAGAGCTAGTGAACTACCCAAATCCTCAGTTTAACAAGCCTGCAGATCGTACTTGTCTGTGTGACTACAGCTATGCTACCTTTGTTCCATGTAATGTTTTCCTTCTTTATATGGATATGGTTATTTGCCTGCAGCTGGTGTACCTTGTGTCTGTTCTTTGTTAGAAAGATTTCAATAGAACTGTCTTTACTCAGAATTATATCAATGGCTACAGCACAGCTGTCAAAGAGTTGTTGAAGCCAGAGTATCAATTTAGTCACTGATATCTCTTCTGTAACTTCCCCCTGTCCTATTCTCCCCAAATCCTTAATTTCTTTGGTATGATATTTGCATGTTAATAGTAAGAGACTGACCAATTAGAGATGGATCTTAAGATCAAACTGCTGGTTAGACTTGAGTAGGCTAGTGAACAAGTACATGGTAAAAACATAGAGTGGGGTATTCTGGTGGAGATCATCAGCTACTGTAAAAGCCTGCAGAGTCCTGATATACTCTTAGAAGCAAACTTGTGTTTCTAGAAATATGAACAGAAAAGGATTGATATGCATATTAATCTGGAGATGTGTGTTTGCTGCCTGCAATGCATGAAGGGATTTATATATATGGGAAACTAATATGTGTATGTTGATATGCAGAAATATCCAAAAACAATATGCTAAAATCAGCCTTCTTAAGACACTTGATTTCCTTTTTTAAAATTTATTTTAGGCCAAGATCCCTTTGCTTTCAAAAATATGCATATTTCTGTTTATTTGTGCGTTAGATACGCGCTCATAAATATGCATGAAGAAATTTGTCATAAAACTAGATGATATTATTTGTTGGCATCTACAGTGCTTTGAGCTTACCATTAGCTAATCATAGTGGAACTATGAAATGTGATTTTTATCAAGTGTGAGAGGGCCAGGGGTTAGCTTGAATTTTAGAATAACATAATTCAAAGTAATTTCAAAGTTATTTGTCCTTGAAAATTTTCTTCAGTCAGGAAATGGGAATTTTAGAATCGATGCTTGCTGCCAAGATACAATCATACTCTTACAAAATCAGTGACACTTAACTCCTTAATATTTAGCAAAATGGGGGTTTAGTCCTGAAAAGAAAGCTTTAGGTATAAACAAATGATCATAAAATGAAACTTCATTTCTCCTAAAGCCAGAACAAACATAAATATTTACTAGTCAAGGCAATTTTATGACAGCTCATAAATTCTTAGTTTAATAAACCCTCCGTTTGCCTATTTGTTTGTGTTTGGTCCTTTTGTGCTGAGATTGGCAGATGACTGGAAATTACCCAAGCACATACAACTCAGCTAGTGTCATTAGCAAGGGGACCATGAAGATATGTTTCATTTGAATCCAGTGACTGTGCAAAACAACATAAAAACTGTCTTCTTCTCTCCTTGCATGAATTGAAACTAATGCTTTTCTAGATTTTGAGTCTGGATTAATCTCACCTTATTTTAGTCATCTCCTTCCTTGGCGGTCACCCTTCAGGCTGTTGCTACCCAAGTATTCCAATTTTTGCATAACACAGACTGTCATTTCCATCTTTAAGCACCTAAATTAGGTGCCCAAAGTTGGATTAGTTGAAGCCAGTCTTAGTATGACAGAGGTTTGCAAGTAAAGTTGGCTGAGAGCTTTATGTTTGTCCATGGTGGGTGGCACACACCAGTTGCCAAATCACTGTTTAGTACAGAGGAATCTCAGCTGACCTGGTTATTTAGCTCTGCCATCATCTGAATGTTACTATTAAAAATGTTCTCTTTCCTTATCTATAGCATTTAGTGTCATTCTTAGAGCTGGTTCATCAAGCAAGTCTTCATAAACTGAACACATAGTTCTAATAGTGAAATTTAAAAAAATTACCTATCTAGAATGATTTTAGCCATTCTTTTGACTGGAATGTGACATACACCTATACTAGATATTGCTCCTCAATATAATATCCATCCTATCCTTTTAGACATATATGTAATGCTTCTATAGAAAAGTTGGTGTAAGGGATTTAAGAATGTGCAGTTATTTCCCTTAAATATGCTACATAACCCTAACATTTTATCTCAGCCATACAAGTTGATTTCAACCTCAGGTTTTCTGCTGAAACTGTGTAGACCAATTTTATAACTTTAGCTGCTGTGCCAAGCCTCTCTGAATTAATGAGTAATTCCTGCTGACTTCAGTGAGCCTTGGATGAGGTTCATAGAGTTGTTAAAGGATGCATAAAATGTTGTAAATAATTTTATACAAATAGATTTTGTTCTGTGATTGAACGTGATAATTTAAGTGTTCTAATTAAAAAGAGAGCCTAGGAAAAGGTCACAGCTAAGTACATTTGAATATAGAAGCTGCTTTCAAGTGGTGTAGAAAGGTGTCATGCTTAAATCAGTTATTCTAAATCACATTTAAAAGATTATTTTCCTTAGCTTTGTAATGAGTAATACATTTCATGGTCTTAAGTTTTAAATGAAAGCAAATCAAATCTACGAGTCCAATCTTCTGTGTAAGGTCAGTCATCATGGGGTTTTTTCCTCAAATGCTGTTTATATTAAGTTCTATGAATTTATTTAGATGAAGTCTTCAGAAGTGTACAGTTTACCCCCAAAGAGACCCAGAGATATCACAATGTTAGCTGTGTCTAACACCCTTTGATTTATTGAGGCAAACTGACAGGATATGTGAGAAAGAAATACCAAAAAAATCATCATTTAAAGATGATTTAAATGATTTAAAGAGCATTTTATGTCCCACTTAGCCAATGTCTAATCCTTCAGAGAAAGGCAAAAAGCCCAGAATATGTAAACTTCAGCATGCAGATGTTAACGTAGATTTTCCTTCCTTTTCCATGAAACTAAGAGACACTATGAGACTCACTGCCACCAAACCCAGCTTCCTGCATACAGGACAGTTTGGATTTTGGTTTGGGATTTTTCCACCCCCCAGCCCCTAAATACAAAGTTCTAGAGGCTCTAACTTTCCAACAGTGATTAAGTTCAGTTAGAAAAAGAATCAATTTATTTGAAATTTCATGTTGTGTCTTGCTTCCATCAACTGTCATCTTGCTTTGCTTTGCCAAAGAATGTGCACGACTTAGTACTAGATCCATTTTGTGACATTGGACAAATCACTTCTCTGGCTTCTCTTTGAGGAGCCGAGTAAATGATGTTCCTTGATTTTTATGTTATATGCTCTGATATTAAGCTTCCAAATTTTTTGTCTTCTGGAATATTTCTTTCTATCACATAAACTCTGTCTGCTGTTTGCATATTTTTTTTTTCAAATGTGGAAAACGAATTGTGTCACTGTCATCCCATAACAGTCTTGCCAATACAGAATAGATTGCAAGATAGCTTAATTTTGTGCATTACTCCCCATTGCCAAAGCACAAGATGGAAAGAGCATGTTGAAATGATTATCTGTGACAACCTCTAAATCCTTTTCAAAGGCACTGCTTGCCAAGATAGTTTCTTATCCATTATGTACTGCCTGCATTATTTGTCTCCACATTAATTGCTTGCATTTGGCTATATTGAAATGTGTTTTTTGACAAGTGATTTAACAAGTCTCCACCAATTTTTGTCTTGTCCACAAACTGTACCAGTGAAGCAACATCACTGTCTAAAGGTTATTGATGTGAACAAATAGGATTGAAGCTGATTCCTGCTAGAAATGGGTCTGTCTTTTGATGTCTTTATATCAAGAATTACAGTTGAGATCTGTCAGAAGGCCTCTCTTAATCTGTCCAGTTTCTTAATGTAAATATTTGTCAAGAAAAATATCTTGTGGTGGGAAGTTTAATGCACTGGAAAGGGTCTAAGCATAATGTATCTCTTTATGTAAGTGTTCCATAATACTCTAAACCAAAGCAAAGCTGGCGATCAGAGAGAAAAAAAATCAATTTTTAGGAACCTATAATGAATTATTCTAGTGATAATTTTCCTTCTAATTCTCTGCTAGAGTTGCAGTATTTTATCCAGTGTTGCTGAAAAGATGAGATGTTCTTACAAAAAGCCACTTCTCTTGAGGTGTTTCTGAATGTCAGAATTGCTTTATGTTTTCTTAAACTGAATGAAAAAGAGCTCACACAAACAGCTCAGCACTGCAAGTTATTGATAGTGCCCATCCATTTCAGTGGTAGGTACACGCATGAGGCAGTGAGGGTTACTTTGTTACTACCAAGTGTAACAGGCTGGGATCTTTGCAGTGCTCCAAACTTAATTTTTAGGTATGCTGTCTGCCACTCTTCTGACTGCTTTCCCATATGAGATCACTATGAATACCTATAAAGTGCATAAAGGAACAGTCCCTGTACATAAATTACAGGGAAATTTAAAGTTAAAATGTATGTTGCTTAGATTGCACAGCCATTGCTTAACAAGGCACTCCCTTTGGCAAGCCTTTGCCATGCATTGAAGATTTCCTTCGCTAATGCAGGACAGACTGACTTTAGTTTTTTTCTGAAGGTCAGTAGATTTCTTCTGAAGTTGTCATTGTACATACAACTTCTGCCAAACATATGGAAATGTAGGAACTGGCTGCCTCATCTGGTCTCCTGCCCAGTTCTTGACACTGTCAACAGGAGACCATTCAGAGGAAGTTCAGGGAAAACCCTGGTGAATAATTATGGGCAGACTCATTCTGTTATTAATACTTTACAATTTATAGTGCCTTTCTAAAAAAGCATTTAGCCTCACATGCAAAAAAAGAAATCAGCATTTTACTATTAATGTTGTTCTGATTTGACTAACCGTTGTAGCAAATCAGTTCTCAGCAGCTTGTATGCTATTAATAAAGATCCTTTTCATAGTTATTTTTCTGTGGAACTCCTCCCATACAGCATGTTGCTGTATCTTAGGTGATATAATTTTCTGCTGAGATTTCAGGAGTGCTGGGCTTGACAGACTAGAGCACTTGGCCTGTGCAAGCTGTCAGCTGGGGCTAGTGGAACTGGATGGTTTTGCCCTGACTGGACTACCACTCCTTAGCACTTGAACTTCAAGGCAAGTCTGTGCTAGCACAATGTTTGAGCTTGAAGTACCTCTTAACCTGAGCTAGAGGTCTTGTGGTGTTTGGGAGTCACCCAACACTCTTTACAACTACCTGAAAGGAGCTTGTAGCCAGGTGGATATTGGTCTCTTCTCCCAGGCAACTAGCAGTAGGACAAGAGGATAAAGTCTTAAACTGCACCAGAGGAGGTTTGGGTTAGACATTAGGAAGAAGTTCTTCACAGAAAGAGTGGAGAAGAGCATTGGAATGAGCTGCCCAGGGAGGTGGTGGAGTCACCATCTCTGGAGGTGTTTAAGAAAAGACTGGATGTGGCTCTTAGTGCCATGGTGTAGTTGACAAAGTGGTGTTAGGTCATAGGTTGGACTGACTCCATGATCTCAGAAGTCTTTTCCAACTTAGTTGATTCTGTGATTCTCTAACACAGAGAATCACTGTAATACTGTTGTGTTACTCAGGACTATTTTGAAAAATACTTCAACAGGAAAGAAAGAAGGAAGAGATCTACAAGTTCCTGTTTGTGTGATTCCAGAAGAATTAAACCCTACTTAATTTCAGTAATCTTCTGGGAAAATCAGCTTTTCCTCTCATATGTGTAACAATAGCACTGATGATACTGTAATGCTGTTAGTGAACATTTCCCCATATCTGTATTACCTTACTAGGCAAGGATCAGGTGTTGTTCCAGCCAATAAAATATGATATAATAAAAAGAGTCTGATTATTCCCAGCCATGATTCCCACATAACCATCTGAACAGTGCATTGTCCTCTCATTAGGATGGTTGATCATTAGGCATATGTCTTGCAGGATGAGGCTCCCCCCAAATAATTGTGTGACAGTTGGTAACACTATGCTCTGCTACAGTCATACATGAGAATCTGTAGGAAGACTTGAAAAAATCAGAAAATGGATTATTTTAAAATTTAATGAATTTTGAGGGTCTGACATATGTTCTGGGGCTGGCAACATGGTACCTGTAATAATGATATAGTACAATGGTAAGCATAAGTATTAATTGTCTCTGTTGCTGTTGCACCCCAGGAAGTTGGGCTGAGTTTCCTGGAGGCTTGAGCTTTTAATCCTAGAGGGAGAAAACATAAATGTATTATTGGAGTATCAAAACCTGAAAAGAATGGAAAGAAACAGAAGAACAAGCTGTCAGTGATCTGAGAGATTTTCAGTTGCTTTCATTCCAGAGTCATCTTCTAATAGATAAACAATTTCTTCTAAATCCTATATAAAATTTTATAGTATATAATAAACACACGGGTTACCATCTGGGCATGCTGCAAACCTACAGTCCTACTTTAAGCTGGAGCTTTATATTTAAACTTTCAACTGAGCCCAAAACAAAGGATTTATAGATTTTTTCAGGAGTGATAGGTGCTTAATGACTTTAACATATGCATTGCAAATAGAAACTATTTTGGAAAAAATAAAAATACTAGTACAGTTATGTGACTTAGAATGATATATTTTTATCTTAGAGTTACTCAGGGCAGGTAGAGTTCTACTCCATCTTCCTCTGGGTGCCATTTGGGGCCATATAGGAGCTTTGCATATAATGCATTACAAGGAGCCATGAGGGGCTTTCAGCAGTGTGCCTGTAATATATGGGCACTATCAGTTATGTAGACCTTACCTAAAATATTTCTCCATTTCTCAGTACTGTATCCTTTGCTTCTCAATTGCTTGGAAAGATGCATTTATTTAATATTAATTTCCTTGTACAAGTGCTCTGTTAATTATTCTGCACATACGCAACCAGGAATAATGTTTCTGTGAAAGCTCTGCACAAATTCTGCCTTTTAAAATGCACAGCTGGTGATCTTCCTTCCAATACTGTGAAATGCATGTTCAGAAGGAAACAACAATCTGAGCATACTAACATTACAATAACAGCTACTTAGGTAAGGTATTAATCACACTGAATAAGCCTTCAGTTCATATTAATATTAAAAGGAAAATTAAATTACTAGTTTTCCTTTAGAAATGCAAATATCCCAAGTTTACTGCTAGTGGTTGAAAGCAAAATGTTAAAATGCAATGGCACAATATATACAATAATTTCCTAAATGGGCAGTTAATAAAGTCACTCAGCTGTGCCATCTGGATATTAACCATGTGACATGGCCAGGTGAAACTTCTTAGTCTACAAACATCTGATGGACCAGATGTTGCAACTGGAAGAATTCTTTCCACTGCTCTGCACCTCAGAGTAGAAGAGTGTGATGTATCATGGGGATTTTGCCTTCCACACCTTATTGTGTAACACTTTCCCCAGCTCATTTTTTCTGGGGAAAAATCATATAAACTGGGAAGTATTTAAGAAATAAAGCCTGTTTATTAAAACTAAGACACTGTTAGCCTGAAAGTATTACATTTTAATTACAAATATTAGAATTCTTGCATAATTTAAGTTTGAGAAATATTTCCTTTCTTAAGAAAGCTTCTAAACATTTAGAAAAAAAACTGGAAGATTTTGTAGCCAGTTCTCCTGAAAACTGAGTATGAAAGAACTATGAGCTACATTCTGACTTCCTCTTTTTTTTGCAGATGGTCCTGTGTCAGTTGGAATGAGTATGGATATTGCAAGCATTGATACAATATCAGAAATAAATATGGTATTGTAGCTTTTGCAGTCTTTTTTTGTTCTGCTTGATAAGCTAATGTCTTGTGCTTACAGCTGCTGGCAATGTGACTTGGGGCTTGTCTCCTTGTGAAGTCAAAGTGGGTTAGGAGCTGGAATCTTATTTTTTACTACAGATATAGTTTATAGCTCTATAATAAATATAGAAATGCAGCTGCAAATTACACCTCTCACAGATACAAACAGAACTTTGCTACTGAGTATTAATCTTAATGAAAGGCATGTGGATCAGTATTTATTTTCCAGATTAAATGTCTAAATCTTTATGCATTTTAGAAAAATGAAGATGTATTCATGAGCCTTTGAAGTCACTGTCTTTTCTTATGATTAGACACAGCTGAACTTAGACTGTTTTTCTCTTCTATTTTTACTGTCACACATTAATTTATTCCAGCTGTGTTTCATGAAATTTGTATAATTTGTTTTTGAACAAACTATGAAATGGAATATATTTTCTAATTAAAGATCTTCCATTTGTACCTAAAATAAAAACCAAAATTCATTAATCAGCTATTAAATATTAGTGTATTAGTAATTATTAGTTACTATTTAGAAAGGGGGAAGTAAGGTTAGAACTTCAGATGAATTTATAATATTGATAAAAACACTCCATAAAATCAAAAGTTGATTTAAAACATGTTAGGAAATAGTGTTATTTTAATGCAGGACTGCAAGGCATATCTCAATTGAAGGGGAATTGGCTGAACGTTATATTCAAGGTCTTGATAAATTTGGTACCACTGTTTCCTTTGTGATGCGGAAAGGATAAATTGTGCTAAAAGATGATGATTCTTGTTTCACTAACCTCTTTTGTCTATCTGAATTTATTCAATTTTTTCCAAAGTGTTCTTAAAAAAAATCATTATTTATTTAGTAGTTTATGCGAACAAAATTATGTTTGGAACCACTTACATAAATAATTCTAAAATTTAAAGATTTACAGAGCCAGATTATCTGCTTACAAAGTTCCAATGACTTCAGCTGATTTATAGCCCCAGACTCAGTCCATCAGCTTTTACTGTAAGAACAAAATCTACCACCTCACATTGAGTGCTAGTAAATTTGTCAGTATGAGAGTCAGTACAGCTGCTGTTGGACATGGAGAGTCACAGCTTATTTGTGCACAACAGCTGTTTCTTTATATTTCTGTAACACGGAATACAACACAGGCTTCCTTTATATGATAATTTTGGTTTTTTCTCTTTCAGGACTACACAGCTACCATATTTCTAAGGCAGCGATGGACTGATGAGAGACTTTGTTTCGATGGTAATAAGAGTTTAAGCTTAGATGGTCGGCTTGTGGAAATGCTTTGGGTACCAGATACATTCATAGTGGATTCAAAAAGGTCTTTTCTTCATGATGTCACTGTTGAGAATCGTCTTATAAGAATATACCCTAATGGAACAGTCTTGTATGCTATACGGTGTGTATATCCATGTGTCAGCCTTTATAATTGGCATCTACTTACATTTTAAACTTTCCGGGTTAGCGTATTTTTTGCTTAAGAAAATGGTTCTATTTGTAAAAGTAGAATATGCATGGCCTTGTAGTTCTATGAATAATAATATTATTGGCCAATATGAATAAATTATTAAATGTAATAATAGATCTTCTCTTCTTCCCTAATTAGACCCTTTTGCTTTCATGTAGACCAAATACAGGAATTGGATGTTGCAATTCCAGTTGTTTGCAATGAAGGAGAAGGCAAGCTGTGATGATTGACTTGCATTACTTATTGTGGATTATTCTTTATAATAGGTTTTGATAAATATAACCAAATCTTAAAATATATTACAAAATAACAAAGGAAAATGTGCACTGTAAGTGAGAAGGGAGCAAACAGTGCCCTTTTTAGACTGCTGCTAAACCCAGATCATCTGGAGTGTTTTCCTGTTTGGGATGCTATTACTCTTGCACATTAGATACCAGTAAATAATAGGGTGTTTTCCCTCACAGTAGGTATTTGCCTGCAAATATTATTTCAAGGAGGAAGCATAGCATTTTTTTTGTTTTTACTGGTGAACAACTTTATGCTGTTAATAATTAGCAAACTGGTTTTTTTTCAAGGATCACCACAACCGTATCATGCAGCATGGATCTGACTAAATATCCAATGGATAAACAGACATGTACTTTGCAACTGGAAAGCTGTAAGACCCTTAATCCTTATTCTTTTTATACAACTGGAAAAATATTTGTGGTTTTTTAATGCTAGATATTATCAGGGTGGCTGGAATTTTCAAAGAAGGCAATGGACATAATGTGACCAGTGCCTGTTGAATTACAATAGAATCTGTGTGCAAGGATATCTGCATGAGACATCACTGAAAATAGCATGGCACTACTGAAATGCTGCAATGCCATTAATGATTAAGCAAAACATTGGGAGATTCTCACAGGCTTGGTTTTGCAGTGCATCCTGCAGTTACCCTGTTGGTCTTCAGAGGGAGTTCTGTGAGCAGGTATTTTCTAGCACAGACGAGGAAATTTTTTTTCTCTTTCAGAGAGCGTGTAATTTTCTCCCCCGAGATACAATTCCTTTAGGAGAGAAAAAAATTAGAATAAGGCTTATTTGTAAGACATATAGTTCATCTTAATAATTTACTGTTTTCATACTGAAAAAATGTAATTGCATGGGCAGGTCTGAGATTGATGGAAACAGGTTTATTATGACTTATTTAGTTGCCACTGTACCAGTGCCCTGGGAGACAATGTTATCAATTGATGGACCAAGACTAAATATACTTTCTCATTTTATCAACTGATGTCCTCATATTATCTTTAAAATATACTCTCTAATACTTTGTAGACATGGTTGCTTTGCAAACACCCAAACACGCATTTTTATAGTTAACTGTTTGCTATTATTCATATGACAAGACTCTTCAAAATAATTTTTGCATGGAATAACATAAAATGATAAACAATTCTGTAAGATGAAAATATATATATTTAAATATGTACCAATACATAATCAAAATCTTTTGGAAGGCTTTTCAGTACTCGTCAAGTTTTATTCTGTATCTCTTCAGGAGTGTGTGTGTGTGTTCTTTATCTCTTCTTGATAATGACCAATTAGAAAATTGCTGTAAAATTTCATTTTAGACAGGAACACAAGGGAAATGAACCCCAAAACCTTCTTCACACAGGAGTCCCTCTAGATAAGCAGTTTTATAAGATCTGTTTAACAAATAATGATTTGAATTAGAATTGGAATTTATCTCTAATTTATTTTCCTTTGAAGAGCATATTGGTAAATTAATGTATATGGATTTAAATCAACAGCAATGCCTAATGAGTCATTTAGTATTTTCTCTAGTTCCATAATGAAATATATGTCCCACAGGAACTTACAATTTATTTGACAGAATTAAAAAAAAAAAAAAGAGAATTCCCCCTATAATTAAAACCAAGCATTTTTCAGATTGATTCCATCTGCTTTTTCAACAGCACACAAGTGTCTCCTGTCCAAAGGGAAAACACAGTCATGTCCTAACAAATGCTCCAATTGCAATGGAGTTTAGTTTTGAGGAAAACAGCTAGAAGCAATAAATACAAAAAGGAAAGAGTGTGCCTTTGGCTGTGGCCCTTTTTTTTCAGTGCACTACAGTCCTTTCTTTTGGGTAGGCTGGAAATGGGGGTTGTTTCCTCATGAGATAAGCTACGGTAATTTAGAGATGAATAATGACATCATCCTAGAATACTGCTTGCAAAGACCATTACCTGGATTTCAAGAATTGTGAGTGCAAACATACATGCACATCCACACACATACTGATGTTTATAAAGAAAATAAATAAAATGTAAAATATACTGCAAAAATTTGAGCTGAAACAAAGTGTTAGGCCCTTTATTAAGTGATTATCGAGATATTATGAAGTAATGGCTTTACACAGTAAAGCATCCCTACTGACCTCTACAACATACTATTCTGCTATTGCTAGTTAATAATTTTAATTGACTTATACTTTCTACATAGCAAAACACATTTTGGCCAAAATGCCTATTTTTTTTCCCCTGTTACTGCAACTCTTTAGAAGGTAGTACTGACATATGTTAGGAAACAGAAAATTGTCACTGAGTCTCTGTTGATATGGCTGCTGGGACATTTGGGAAACTGGAGGGCTCCTGTCTTGCTTGGTGCTGCCAGAGAGGTTCATGCTCTCTGCCATGTGGCAGGGAAAGCCACTATTCATTCATTCTGGGCTGAAGGTTTTTTCTCCATTCCACCCCCCCAAGGCCTCCAGTCTGAATACATATTCATGTCTTGGGCCCATCTCTGAAATTTTATTTCCTTTTTGAACTTGTCTTTTACCATTTATTCAGTGAAGAGGCATGTGAAGGCACTTAACTTGTGCTTGACAATCAGGGAAAATTAAAATTAGCAACAGAAAGGTAAAGAAACTAATTTGTATTAGGCATTATGAATGTTTAATTCCAAATTTACTATTCCTGTAATTAACCCTGTTGACATTAGCAGCTCATACTGTATCAATGATGTACAGGAAAGAGAATTTTGGGCTTGAGGAACTAGTTTGAATGAAAACTCAGGGTCATGTAAAGAGAATAAAGATTACTTGTAGAAACCAAGTAACATGGCTTAAGGATTTTGTCTCTATAAACTTCTAAAACATTTTATAATTAGTAAAATATTAATCCTCTGAATAAAAACCAACTTTGCACAGAGGGAGCACTGTGCTATTTAACTTTACTGTCTATTGGGAAGGCTCTCTTCATGAAAATTTGGAATTATTATTCTCAAAGAATTTTCATTGGAAGCATCACCAAAACCTACTAATTGTTCAGCTAATGAAAATATTTTGGAACAAAAGCAAGACAATCTCCATTTCGAGATATGCTTGTTATTGTCCGTGTGGGCACCAAAAACTTCTCCCGTCTCACACAACTTGGAAGACTGAATGTCTTGAAAACCAAAAAGGAATCTACTGTGGTTATCTCTAGTTCTTTGGACTCTTTTTAAATGTCTGCAGTTCATTTATACTGAAGGGAAGTAAAATGAATCCATGTCTGGAGTCATGCACAAAAACTTCTTTTATGAACCTCTTAGTTTTGACTAAGGACAATGCAAGCATTTGTTTATAGGTTACTTTTATTTTACATCTCCCAAATCTGGGAATTTTCCCAGCATGTGGTTTTAGGGAATTGAGAACTTAGTTTGGATACACATGCTTTTGACTTAGTCTTTTGACACAATGCTATTTTGGCTTTAATTGCTACAAATATGATAATGTGAGCAGAGATTCCAGATCATGATCCCTTTTCATATAAGTGCCAGCGTTAGTAAAACAAAATTTACTTTTAAAGAAGGAGTGGAGAAAGAATTTCCAGGTAAAATTGTCATTTTAATTGGTAACCAGTCCACTGTTTCCTTACAATGAAATTTCTGGACTTGGTTTTTTCCTACATGAAAGGGCTGTAAGAAATCAGTTTTGGTTTGTCATTGCAAGAAATAAAGCCAATAACTTAAAAATATTAGAAGGCGCTTTTTAAAAAAAAATTTAATACATCATTTTTTCTGTGATTCTAGAGCTTTGTTCTTTTTGCAGCATATACCCTTGTGTAATGTATTGCCTTATTGTCTCACTGTAATTTACTTACAGTTGACTGATGTCTAAAAATAATCATCTGCTCATGTTTCTGTTCCCTAAGCTTAGCTATTAACTTGCACAGTATAAGTCTGTCAAATACAAGAATGATTGATCTAAGTAAGCTAAAGAAAAAGATGTTCAAATGCTCCCTGTTAACATGTAAATTACATTAACATAATCTTGAATTAATCATATACACTAGTCTGTAAAGTGTCTGCCTTTCATATAATGGGGAAAAGCTACAGAGGTATTTTAGCTATGACTGTGCTGCATATTGACAAGTGTGTGCAAAATACAGTTGCCTTCTGATAGATGATTCATCCAGCTCCTAATTACTATTTGAAGGTTAAGAGGAAACCTCCTGGGGCCCCTGAAGCATGCCACGCTGTTGAGCCTGCAGAAACATCAGCTTCTAAGCTGGTGTCCTTGGGAAGTATTCAAGCTCCTAAGCCAAAACATCATCTCGAGTGACGATTCAAGCCCAGGTCAGAGCACAGCACCAGCAATCAGCAGCTCTGCTGCTCTCCTCACCCCTTAATTTCTGTGGGAATGAGGACCAAATGCACTGCACCACAAAATAACATCTTGGGATGCAAGAGGAGGCACGTTTCATGTGTAGTGCAAGTGCTGGCAGTGCTGTAATTCATAAAAGCTCCATTTCTTTAAAGCTTTTGCCTTTAGAATACCATGTGGTACTAATCTGTTTTATTAGTTTGTCATCTATCCTGAAATAAAAGATACAAAAAGACCACCTCCAAAAATGTCAGCTTTCAGCTTATAAGACTTTGCATGTTATTGGGAGTTTTGTTGTGAACAGGAATTACATTCTGCCAAAACTTGTCGTTGTTTATGTCTGACTGTACTTTCAGGCAGACAAATAAGAAACAGCTGAACCATAAGTGTGCTCAACACAAATTAATTATTGCATAAAATAAACACTCTTGTTGGCTTGTGTATCACTACAGGGGGTTATAACATCAATGATGTCATGTTTTACTGGACCAGAGGAAATGATTCAGTTCGAGGTTTGGACACACTCCGGCTGGCACAATACACAGTAGAAGACCACTTTACCTCCGTGTCTGAGGCTGTATATGAGACAGGTAAAAACAACCTTATAGCACTTTCTAGGTACAGTTTGTGATATGGCTCTGGAAACAGAGCAGCATTAAGGAACAGAGCACACTGCTTTCTGTTAGGATGACAGTTTTCATATTCTAATAATTACATTTTTGAAGCCATACTTTTCCAGATATTACAAGCAGAGATCCAGCTAATGTAAAGACTGAGAGTTTTTGAGCATTTTCTTGGAGGCTACACATTATCTAAAGGATTACAAACAAGTAGTCTACTACTTCTTCCATTTAATGTCAGGGAGAGCTCGTGTGAAAGAAGAGTTGTCTGTAAATTGAGCATCTAAATTGGAGACAGACCAGGGACCCTGGGGTACCCAGCTCAGAACAGCCACTCTGGCTTTATTAGGAAAGTCAAAAGTCTCTTCATCTATGCAAGTTCCAAGAATATGCTGGGTGCTTTAACAACTGCAGGAAGTTGAATTTCATGTCTACTGCTTGTAGGAGTTGTTCTTTATCTGTGGCAGCCTCTGCCCAGCCTGGTGGCAGCAGAGTGCAGTTTGCTCAACCTGAGGTTCCTCTGCCCAGGGAAGGGCATTTCCACAGATCTGCTCTTCTGCCAATCTTAGGAAACTGCTCTAGAAAGTTTCCTCTGACTGCAAGACTTAACCTCAGGAAAAAGTGTGTTCCTATTTATTTTCCAGAGATTTTGAAAGGGCTTTTGGAGATTTCAAGACCTGCCAAACCTGCCTTATGCTCTTTGAGTTACTCTTAGGTCCTTCATTGCTGCTCTTCACTCTGTACTCAGTTTCTCTCTCTCTCAAGTCAGCACACACACCAAAAGGGTAATATTTAACTCAAGACACACACATCCTTCAAAACTGCAGTTTCACCAGAGGATATGTTACTAATTCCGAGTCACAGAAATATAGTTTCTCTGTTCTATTATTGGGTATTTCTGCTTTAATAACACAACATGAAGAAACCTGTGATCTAAATTCAGGCTAAAAATCAAAGTTCTCTAAGTGGATAGAAAAGTAGAAATTAAATACCTACTAACAGACTCTAGGATTACAGAGTTTCTCAATACTTACATAAATGACATCTGCCTGCCTTCCTCCTTCTTACAGCTTGTGGGTAAGCAGCATCAGGTTCAATCAAAGAAGAATAATCCTTACTGCTGTTCTGGCCAGAAGGTTATTAGAACCTGTTCACCATACAGGAAAGTGGAAGAGAAAACCTGCTTAATTCCTGCCACCTCTATCACAGAATCAAGACTCTAAAAAAAAAAAAATAAATAATTTGGTTTGGCTTTGGTTGGTTGTTTTTTTGTTTTCGTTTGTTGTTGGGTTTTTTTGATTGAATAGACTAAGGCCAGTTTCCAATTAGAGTTGACCAGGTGTGACCAGACGAACTGTACTCTTGTTCCAGTAAATGATGCTGTCTTTCTCTCTTTGTGTTGGCAGGAATCATATGTATCAAGTCAAAAGCCACTTGTTTTAATTATGCGTTTTAACACATGCAACTTAATTCGATTTAAATTTCTCACACCTCCTTGTTTCAGTTCTCCTGTTCAAGAAAGCCATGCTATCAAGTGCTAAGTACTACATACTGCATAAAATTAAATCTCCTAATCCTCTTAATTTTCTATTGAGTCATTCTGAATTAGGTGTTGTTTTGTACAGATTTTTTTGGAAAGCAGTGCCTACTGTAGCCCATATTAAAAGAAAAAAGTAACCAAATTATGGAGCTATGTAGTCAATTTTGAAGTGAAAAATTATGCTTTGCATTTCCTTAATGCCATTAATAGATGAGAGTATTTCATAAATAACAATTACATTATAAATAACAGTTATTTATAACTGCTAAAATTCAAAAGGCTTAAGCTAGTTATGAGAGAAGAGCTGTGTGCAGTATTTCCTAACACAGCGAAAAAAGCAATCAGGATTTGATACTCTGTGAACTTGAAGAGACAGTACAGCTGCTGTGCAAGTGAAATATTGTGCAACAGTGCAAAGCCCAAGTTCACATACAGCCACTGACAGAGCCAAATTTAAAATGCAGTCAGCAGAATTCCTGCATAAGTAACTTCAATAAATTTAAGGAAAGGACACTGTGAATTAATCTTGTTTGCAGAACAGCATGTACCACATAATAGTAATCACATTATTGTAATGACATAATAGTAAGTCACTTTAAATAATGTTAGGTAGATTGCTGGCTAGGGTTTGGTGTTGACTTTGTTTTGATACAGAACAATTTCCTTTTAGACATGGGTAAAGTAATTGTTAGAAACACTTCCCACATGTCTTAACTATAGTCCTCATTCTGTATACACTGATACACTCTTACACTGTGTATCTTCATCAGGGGGTGCTGGGTTTTTGTTTTAGGTGTCCTGCCAACACCACCTGCACTCTCAGAGTAATAAATACTGATATAAAAAGCTTGCTTTTCTTATTGGAAAAACATAAAAGCAATGAAGGACTGTTACAGCCTAGCTTTTTGTCTAAACAATCATAGAAATAAGGCTGGAATACACTTTAAGAATTCTCATGTCGCCGGGCAAGGTCATCTATATCTATAGCCTACTTCCTGACAGATGTTTCTAGGAGTAAGTCAGACAAACCTCCAAAGTGCCTGCTTCACAGCCTCCCTAGATGATCTTTTTTTCCTGGTGTTTATTACACACATATTTTCCTCATGTCTAATCTTGATCTCCCTTGCTGCATTTCAAACCCATTATGTGGATATTGTAGACAAATGCCTTGCTATTTTTCAGTGGCACCTTCACTGTTTCAACACAGATACATATTTTTTCAGACCAAAAACTCTCCTCTTTTTTAATTTATATAACCAATTTTCTAGATATCCTCTTTTTGCTATTGTTCTCCCATCAGATTTCTCATATCTTTGCTGATACGGAGCAACCAAAACTGGGTATCCTGTTCCCATCAGATGGATGGAAGGGTTTACTTAATGTGTTCCATGAACTCTGTTCCTCTTTATCCATTCTAGGTTGGTATTTGTTTTTGTAAAAAATAATCATGCATTTTTGACCTTGTTCAGCTTGTGATTCCTTCTACTTCTCTGTCTTCCTTATTGCCCTGAGACCACATATTTCCTGATCTCTGGGAATGAGTAATGCTCATCTGAGTGCAGGACTTTGTACTTGCTTTTTTGAATTGCATCTTGTTTTACTTGGTTTTTGATAGTTCAGGTATTTTTGAGCTCTAATCCTGTTCTCCAGTGTGTTAATGTAACACTCCACTCTCAACAGACACTTGGTATGTCATTCTGTTTGCTAGTGAGCAGTACTGGGCACAGGACAGACCCCATGTGTTCCCACTCAATAAATGCTTCTATTTTCACAGCAAGTGATAGCTAATTAATCTCAATTACCATTTTTAGTTGGAGAAAGAAGCAAAAACATAATTTAAAACTTCAGGCTAATTGGCTGTTGATAGCTTTTTTCCAGCATCTTTCCTTAAGTCTTACTCTCGCTACTGCAACCCTCCTGCTAATTCCTCAGTGGCAGCAGGAATGAAGAGGCTCAGCTTGCTCAGGTCTAGTCTAAAGCTAAGTCTTCAGCCCAGAAGGCAGAGAGAGACATGTCAGGCAATCAGGGCTCTAATTGCACTTCCTCACTTCAAAAACGTCAAGTCAACAAATTGCCACATTTAAAAGGTATTATTTTGGCAGAACAGAGGGAAAGAAGAGGCAGAAGCATAAAGTAAGTCTCGGCTCCTTGATGCACATAGACAAGATATTTGCTCTATTAAAAAGAGAGCACAAAGGCAGCTGGCTGCTGTTCTTGTCCACAGTTACTGCCAGGGTTTTGATGTCTATCACAAATCCTGTTTTAGCCTTCTCAGGCTAGAAGCCCATCAGTTCTCATTTGGCTATGCAGTGCTGAAGCTCTGTGGTCCCCTGGCCACCACATTATGAGCTTCTCAGGGGGGAGGTCACAATTAAGCCAGTAACAAGTTGCTGTCACTTATAATTAGTGATCTGAAATCAAAATGGATACAAACTATATATAGACTGCAAAAGTTGTATGAGAGTGTATAAATATAACAGACTCTACAAAGAGTGTATGTTCATCAGTCAGAGTCTCTTCCTCTGCAAACACAGGCACTACCTTGCTTTGTCCTACAGGCTCATCTTCAGTTTTCTATCCTGAGTTGTTTTTGAGATAATTCTGCAATGTGAAACAATTTAGAAAAAAAAATTGGTAAATGCATTGAAAAAGTTGCAGTAACATAAAAACATATTGAAATGCAATGAATGAAACAGAAGGATACTAGGAGGAATTTTTTGTTAACTTCTGCAAAGTTCCTTGTAGTATATATATACATAGAGATGGACACTTGGAAAACTTCCCATGGCATAGTTTTTCTGTTTTTTTTATAGGTAAACTAAATGGATAAATATACCTGCTGACAAACACTACATGAAAGGGTTTGCTTCATTCTTAGGAAATTTGAATTTCAAACTTACTTTTTGTAAGTCTCAACACATGTTGAGAAGCCTGGCCTGAGCTTTGATTTCCTCTAGTTCACTTCTGAAAAGTAAGTAAGAAAAGAGATAGTTTATAAGATCTAAACTATGAAGAACAAAAAAATGATTTTTGTCTGAGGGGGGACAAAGGAGCTGTAATAGCTTATTAACAATATGTATCGACACATTTAGCATCCTGCAGCAGTCAGAGAATTGTATTTCAGTTGTACAACTTATTTGTTGTGTAAGATTGGGGACATAATAATTCCTTAATGCATATGTTCATTGTAAACAAGCAGTAAAAAAATTATATACTGAAAACTACATTTTTAGTGTATAGTTAAGCCAGTAAAATCTATTTAAAGCTTTCCTGTAGCATGCCCTTAAAAGACGCAAGAAGAGAAGAAAACGATGCATTGGTAGAATTCTACTGACGTGCTTGTGCAAGATGTACATCACACAATTTAGCAGACACCCAAGGGGTTAGCATAAATAATTCATGATAGAGAAAAGTATGCTCTTTGTGCCTGACTGCATGCCCCTGTGCAGGATACCAAAGTACTTCTTACATAAAGAATGATGTGGAGCAGTCTTTTACTGGAGTAGAGTTCAGCAAAAAGTCCACGGAAGTAGCTGTGGGGAAGATGCTCCCATCCCATAACACTCAGAGTGGAAGTTAGGAATTGCTGACAGCATTTATAGAGGATCAGTTCTTCCTTCAGGTGTCTCCGTTGGGACCACCTGCTGGTGAGAGATGCTGCAGAAAAGAGCAGAGATACAGCATTCTGCCATCAGCTGGAAACAGATGCCAAAGAAAAATGGCATTATCAGAAAATGAATGACCTAGCATGACAAGGAAGCCTATTTAGGTTTATATCTATTTTTCAAGCAGTGCAGCAGTAGTCATTGCTGATAGAATCATCAGTGGAGATTCTATACAAAGTGTTAGATAATCAGCACTATATATTAGAATATAATTTTAAAAGACAAAAGCCAATCTTCAAAGCCAAGTTATAAAACAGAATAAACTAGTTTTTACTGCCTTCATAAAAATCTGTCTTAGACCTGGATCTAGACCTGCTCAGCTACTGAGAAAGAGGCTATTTGGGTATAATTTTTATGATACTGCAACAAAAGTGATCAGCTGGATCAAATTGTACTTTTTTTGCCACCTTTTTTGTCACCTGTCACCTTTTTGTACTTTTTAGGGTACTTAGCAGAATTTACTTCTGCCCTCTAGTAAATTCTATAAAGCCCCAAAATAACTCAGTTTAATCTTCTTTTGCTGTGAGGTGACCTAAGTAGAATACCCCACCTTCTGGTGTGTTTAGCATATATATATTGACAGTCATTTAAGTTCAGAGTCATCTGAGAAAGTGTTAAACACAGTAATTCAACACTTTGGTAAGTGCTAATGCTACGCCTTTGCTGCAGTTAGCTATCTGCACAGAGATTAATTCCATCACATTATCACATTTAAATCAGAGGAGTCTCACACTGACGTGACACTCATAATGGGTGAGAAACTTGAATGAAAAAAAATCTTTTCATTTTATTGCAATTATTTTGTTGTCAATAAGACTCAAGCAAGGAGTTAATTAGAGTTGTACTTGAGTTAACTCTAGTAAAGCCAGGACTAGGATTATATAAATCTGTTTCAATTTTGATTTGGCTGATGGCACTGTAGTCTCAGCTGTGCAAGGCAAAGGCAATGAGATACTGCATTACTCTCTCATATGCAGCTCACACAACTGGAGTAGCAAATCTGTTCTTTTTAGAGATGATAACTTCTGGTACGTGTGTGGTGTAGATGAAAAAAGGACTGTAATATTTCTCTATCTTCATTTTATCCCATTGCTCATTTCTTTAGCATGATAAGTATGCACTGAATACTTTTTCTCAACTACTGCTTCCTTCAGTTTATTACAGGAGGAGCTCTGATGAATTCTATATATAGGTTGCTTCAAAATTTCCATTATAAAAGCTCTTCTGAACTCTTTAGAGAAACGCTGACACTATTATTATCATGTCCATGATGTGTCTTTGGATTCTGGCAAGCAGAAAACCTTAAGATTAGAATGCCTCTTCTTTGTTCCCCAAAAAGCCACTCAGCTATAAGCCATTACATCTCTATTCCTCTTGTTCACATTACTTCAGAAATTTCTGGCATCGGGAGAAATAATAACATCGTAATACCCAAAAGGCTTGTCTACACTTGGAAATTGCAGCAAAGTGGCAAACTGTGACTTTCAAATTTGATATTTTGGACTAACTTCCCATGTACACACTTGCCTTTTATACTAAGGTAAATGGGGATACAGTTGTAGGGCACTACCAAGGAGATGGTATTGTTGTATGGTTACATTGGCTGTTTCAGAGTTTTCCTTCCTAAAGACAAGTTCTTCTAAGGCTGAACCACAGGAACTCCCAAGTGCCTGTGATACTCTGCAGGAAGTATAGTCCAGTCTCTTCACTCCCCTTTGCTGAGCATGTGGCAAGACATCCTTCTCTATGGTCAGCACAGAAGCACAAAACAAATTACTTTTGTGGAGTATCCAGTCCTCTTTCCCTAAATATGCTCTATGCTATAGCCTTTTGTTGTCCAGAATCAGTGTTTTTCCATAGCACTAGTGCTCAGTTTAGTGCAAGGATGAGTGCAGACAGAAGCAGTAATGCTGCACAGTCAACTGTAAGTTTTTCACGTCCTAACTTTTGAGTGCTTTACTTTGGTCTGCTTACACTTAAAATCAGTTTTGGTGAGCAAAATGGCATTTATTGAAACAACTGCAGTGGTAAAAATCACAGCCTTGATAGAGGTACATTGGTTAATGTTCCCTGTTTCACATAAAAATGATAATAATGGCATAAAACATCTTTGTATTTCTTGCCTCATGGAGATAGTTTAAGTCTAATGTTCATCTTTGTATCCTTTCTTCTATCAGTGAGACACTTGAGGATCTTAATATACTGAACTTACAAAAAGAACCCTAAATACAGTGCATTTTTACCTTTGAAAGGAGAAAGAACTGACTACTAGAGGACTCTTTAGTTCACTAGAGAAAAGGCAGTCAGCATGGCAGAAAACTGAAGTTAGATCAATATTAGAAATTAGACATTAATTTTTAACAGAATTATTTGCTGAGAGAAATGGTGGATACTGTGTGTCTAGATATCCTTAAACTAAGTCTACATGTCTGTGTGAAAGGTGGGCTCTATTCCAACCAAAATGACTGAGTTCAAAGCAGGGGATAATTGGGGAAATTTAATGGCTTGTGATTAGGGTCAGACTACATAATCTAGCAATTCTTTCTGGTTTTAAGAATTCTGTGAATCCTTATTGTTCTCTTGATGCAATATATACAGTTCTTTCAAAAATGAAGATTTAACCATTCATTTGTTAGTCTGGGAGCAATAATACATTCCTTGGCATCCATTACTTGCACTTCAAGCTTTTCAGTGTTCTTCTTTGACTCTGTGTCTCACAGTGCACCTGAGGGATGCACAAATAGCCTATCTGTGTGTATATTGTTGTTGCTAAAGTGAATTCACCGTTCTGTACTTCTGTCCTGACTTGCAGCACACAGCACTGGAAGCAAACATAGGTCCCAGAGAGCATAACGTTTTGTATTAAAATAGCTGAAGCCAAAGCTATCTGACTACAGAGCATTACACTCTCACTGGTATTCTGATTTTCTGTTGTTAAAATAACGTTGTAAAAGTTTATTAACAATTTTGAACTTGGAACTCCAGAATAAGAAGTCCTTTGTGCTCTTTTAAATTAGTAAAAAGAAAGATTTTGCCTTCCTGAGATTCATTGAACTGGTAACAATTTCAGATCCTGTGCTTCAACACAGGCAAAATTTTGCTTGGTTATTGAGCTGGATAAAAAATTTGGGCTTTGCTTACAAGTGTAGTGTCCCCTCATGAAAACCAATTCTGTATTTGACTCTGTGATCCCAAAAGTTCATCTTCTGGAAATCACTCACATAGAAGCAAACCATTTGTGCCTCAATAGTGACACTGCTCAGAGTAACACAAACACTGTAATGCATTAATATAAAGAAAAAATAAGTAGTGAAGATACAAAGATACTGCTCGGGTTTAAGTGGAATATAAGAGGTAGGTAAGCAGTATCAGAGCAGGTACCCTTAATCCAGATCTTGAACAGTAGTAAGTGAAAAGAAAAGCAAAATAAATGAGATATGTGAGACAGGTAAATGTAAGAACCCATTCTAACTTTGTGAAATTACAATTGTTACTATGTTACTTCATATCATAGCTCATTTATTGTTATGAATAGTGACAGCTAAATACATATGTGACTTAAAATTTCCTTGTGTTATATAATGAAACATCCTTTCCATGCATTGATGGCTTTATTTTTTCCTTCGCTAATCTTCATTTAATTTCCAGTTCAAGGGACCTTTAATAAAACTCTGAATATGGTGACTGGGTGTTACGTATTTTGATTGTTAATTTTAGAGTATTCATCTTGAATTTTTCAGCGCTGTGTTTAATTTTTTCCAAGCTTGTTTGTTAAGTTTTTACTGCACTGTAGTGCACCAAAATAATACAGGTTGCTATTTCAAAGAACTTTTTATGAATTACACCTTCACAATATTTTTCCCTGCTCTTTCCACAGGACGTTACCCAAAACTAGTGTTTCACTTTGAACTCAAGAGAAACATCTTGTATTTCATATTAGAGACATATGTACCATCAATCCTACTGGTTGTGCTCTCCTGGGTATCATTTTGGATAAGCCAGTCATCAGTTCCAGCTAGAATCTGCATAGGTGAGAAGCCAATAAACCAAACCAAACCAAACCAAGAGCTGGATCATTAAGATGCTTTTTTTATTACAAGTACATGGCATCCATTTCCCAAACACTTCTGAGTTTTATGGAATAACTTTTTTGGTTTGCCATACCTAGTATATGTGTGGATCCCCTTGAAGCCTTGCTATTCTTTAGTGAAGAAAAATGTCTTTGGGAGCTACAGGAGACTTAGAGGCAGGGGAGGGTGCTGAAAGCAAAGGAAAAAACTGTGTCATTTTGGAAATAATTTAAATTTATTAAAACACATGGCATGCACAGACAGAATTGTGAGGCTTTTGTGAGGTCTAATATACATACTAATTAACACATGAATAATAAGAGAATTATAAGAGATTAAATATAATTAATTTCAAATAAAGGATATTCTGAAAGGGAAAGAATGCGAATCAGTTTTGATCAGGCTGCAGGTGGGGTGGGAAAAACACTCCTGCAGAATAGGGTAGAAAGATTTCACATCAAATGAGCCATTGGGCAGCTACACTGAGCAAAATGATATCTGAATATTTAAAAGGAGCTTTTGCATAGATTTGCAATAATAATGAGTTAATCATAAATATACATTCCACGACACCAAAATCTCTCTCATTTTAATTTCTAGTCTTCTCAGCTTTACTAACAGTTTTCATTAGTATTTTTAAGCATTTAACTTCAGAATTATAAGTTCGTAAAAATTATAAGTTCATTGGAAAGCCTTCTTTCTAAAACATGACCCATTAAATGCTGTGGCAGATTTGGTGTTTCAGAGCCAGGAAAAACTCTCTTGTAGTAGGGCCCTTGCAGTGGAGGCCTTCATTTCTATGCATGTTATATCAGAACATATATTTTTGCGTTCCACAGGTGTTACCACAGTCCTTACAATGACAACACTGATGATGGGAGCCAGGACTTCACTCCCAAATGCTAATTGCTTTATTAAGGCAATTGATGTGTACCTCGGTATCTGCTTCAGCTTCATCTTTGGAGCACTGTTAGAGTATGCTGTGACTCATTTCTGCACTCTGCATCAACTCAGTTCAAAGGAACTTCCAATGGTATTTTAATTCTTTGGTTATTGTTCTATAAACTAGAATTAAATTATACCTGGTAAAGAGAATTAATTCCCTTAGAAATAATAGTAAATGTATTTAAGGAAGTTTCTTTTTTAGAATTAGGACAGGAAAATAAAATAATCTTGAGAAAAAGAAAAATATTTGTATTCCTGGATCTTATTTAGAAGAGATCAAGCAAACTGAGGCACCCTTCCATAATGATTCTCTCTTTAGGCATGGACTTTATGGCCATTTATCAAACAATATGCTAGACATACCACAAAAATCATAGACATTTGTTGTCTTCCAGGCAAAAGCATATAGTTACTTACGGTTCAAAAACTCGACTGAGCTTGATGACTTGACCTGATTGCAAAATAGAAAAAAAAAAAGAGTTTATCACATTGCATTTATGAAACCTTCATGTGCATGGAACACGAGTCAGTATCCTAGCAGACAGCTTCACATCCTGGGTCTATCAGATCCCTATTGCCTTCTGTTCACATCTTCTCTTTCAACAGCTGCAACTGAAACTCAGGCTGGGATTCACTTTCTCTTCTGCATCGTTATTATAACAGCGCTTTTTGCTGCTCTAATGAGTTTCTCACAACTCTGAAATACTGTGAAATATACTTAAAATAGAAATGGATGAAATCAGCGTAGGCATTTTTCACTCTGGTGGTTGTCGTCATGCTGAAATAATCAGGACAGGTTCATGAGGTTTTGTCACATCTTCCATCTCCAGTGTATAGCACTGCTTTCATAAGCAATGAAAAAGAAATCACAAGGAAGCTGGAAGATGATTGTCTTGCAGCTTTTAATTATGGAACTGAATCTAATATGCATGAGAGAAAAGAAAATGTTAAGCAGCTTATGAAATTTCTGGATTAACTGAAAAATGTAAAACATGAAAAATGAGAATAACGGGAAAAAAATGCAGAAGGAGGTTTGGTTGAGTGCTGTAGGGTTAAAGGGCCAGAACAAGAAAGTTTGTCAACTGTTTAAGCCAAACTAGAACAGAGCATCACAAATGCCTAAGCAAAGCCCCTCAATAGACTCAAGGAACAGGATATTGAGTTGAAGAGGAGGAGCTTCAAAGCAGTGAAGATCAGCCAATATGTGGAGTTTTTTATGTCTAGATAGTTCATCAATTAATATGTGATTTTGGGTGTTTGGATGAGAGATAAGTCCTGTAAATATACAGGAATATGTTCAAAGCTCTCATTAGGTCTAGATATGTGGAGGAACACTGCAAAATGGACACGAAGCTGAACCACCCAGTGGGTTTTATGAGATCACATCTATCAGGGGATTGTCTGCAAATGGGCAAACACTCATTTTGAATGAGGATTTGAGTGGAAAGCCTGAAAGTAATTTTTCTTGGCAAGGTAACATCAGTGACAATTCCCTCAGAGCATATCCATCTTGTGAAGTAAGTGGCTGTCATTTTGCGCATAGAGCAGGGAAAAAAAGAGAAAGCTTATTGGAGGTTTGGGTAAGAAAGTAAAGTGTTTCAGTGCTTGGATGATTAAGCATCTTTGGATCTATGAAGGGCAATCGTGACTGCCCTTGCCTTCACCTACCCGTGTCAGATTTGCTTTCATCTGGAGCACATACTAGTGCTTCAAATGGTGTGGACATGGAAACTCATAGACTTCAAAGATCTGCATGGAAGTGGAGGTACAGCCTTAAAATGAAGAAGGAAGAAAGACTTATGGTAAAGTTTTGTGATGGACTTAATGACCAAAGGGAATAGTCTTTCACTTTAGGAGTGTTTCCTGCTTCACATCAGAAGTTTTTTTCCAGTTTTTCTGCTGTGCATCAGAAGTGAACAAGCCATCCAAAATCACTTCTTGCCCACACAAAGATAAAAATATAAGGGAAAGGGCAGTTTTTTGCTCCTAGATCAAGACTCTGTAGAATAGGGAAAATGCCTGTCATGTCCTTTTCCTAATGTAGCCAAGGACAAGCACTGAGCAGGGTGTCATGGAGAGCACACCTGACTTGTATTTCTCATTGTAAAAAACAGAACATCACAAGGACAGAAGTACCAGCTAAAATTTCGTGTCACTGTCTAGGAGGTACTTAGCAATTTATGTGTGAGTATCGTCACTGTAAATGTGTTGTCCTCATTATCGTTAGGTTAATTGGAAATCTCACTTTCTATTTTGTTATTCCCATATGTGAGCTGATAGAAAATTTGCATTCAGAATTATGTAAATAAATGTAGGAGGAGAAATGAAAATGTCACCCTCTCTCTTGTATAGGAATTAGTTGTACTCGCTTGCTTTCCACTTTGCTCTTTAAAGCAGGTGGGCACTGGCATAGCAAATCCTTCTGAAGCCCTTGGGATCTTCAATTTGGAATATAAACTGGTGAAAGACCTCATCATATCCATGCTCTTGCAGTGTCTCACACCATGTGAACCAGGACCCACAGAGACAGCTTCAGAGCTAATGGCAAAAGCAGAGGAACCACCTGCTGCAAGGAAGGTCAGGCAGAATGTGCCATTCACATCAGCTCCATAACAACAGGCTGCTTAAATGGAGAGTTTGCCCCTCCCAAGTTTCTTCTGTTTTGTACAAAATTGTGAGTTGTGCCCTCTATAAAGAAGAGGATTCCTTCTTCGACTTCCTCTGTCTTTCACTTAAATCTCTACGTTTTAGGCAGAATGGAGAACAGTTTGAAAACTGAAAATAAGGGTACAAGGGTGCTGTTCAGCCTACCTGGCATTTCTGTGCAAGCATTGTCCAGTCTTTATGAGCACTGCATAAACTCCAGGTGTGCAACAGTCTGGGTTGAAATATTTTTAATCTTGAGCAGCTTTTTTATCCGCTGGAAGTGACAACGTTCCTCAATTCTGTTGGCTGTTGGATGTCAGCAAACACTTCAGTTAGTATGAACAGGAGCCACAGTAGCAGGTGCCATATACAGTGCTTTTCTGGTGGTGTACAGCACCTTTCCTGGATATTGCTGATTTGGTATCTAAATAGAGCCTTTCTTAGTGCCAACTGCTATTTCCTCATAGCTGGAATCCAGAAAAAATCCAAGTGTTTAAAATTAGAGCCACATTTGGACACTCACAACACTTTTTTTTTTTTTTTTTTTTATGTATACTGTAAACCAGCCTAGTCTTTCATGATGCTCAGTTCTCCATAATAATTTGGAAAAGTCCCTCAACAGTCCCACTTAATAAGACTGCAGCTTTTTATGAACTAGCAGTTTTTATGGTTCTCCTCTAGACTAGCTTTCTCCTTTTCAAGCAATGTAATACAGCACTTTTCTGTAAACTCTTCTGTTCTGCGAGAGCCCTGCCTTGTTACACTGCAAATAGAATCCAGTACATGTGCCCTGCATGCAGTATTTTCTGCTTAAGTAAGAACTGCCTCTTGGGGAGTAGAAAGGAACCAAGAACAGCCTAATAATGTATCAGCCTCCTGCAAGTTGCTAACATGCGGTTGTGTGAAAGGAAAAATGGCACGTGCGCAATGTCCTGTTAATGCTCTGATGTAAAACTAATTCTGAACAACTTATTGCCAGCCCTACCTAGGAGAAAAATAGACTCTTACACTGAGCAATGCCCCAAATCCTGCCAGTTTTGAAGTACAGATGTTGTTTTGTTTCCCCCCCCCCTTTCTAAAATATGAGAACAGGGGAAAAAAGTCAGGACTCTTCTGTCAGGTTCCTTTATTTTATTAACTTTTGATGTGCTGAGTGCATTCATTAGGTCGTTGCTCTGGTGCCTCGTTTCAAGTGCCAGGCACTGCTGACAAAGGCTCCTCTGCCATCCCCAGCACTCCCCTCACCTACCTGAACTTTTTGAAGCAGAAGAGAGGTATTTATAGCAGAGTCAGGCCCCAAGTAAAACTCAAACCTTGAGTTTTAGTACTACCCTGGGGATTGTTTAAGGTTCAGACTGGAATTTTATGGATTGATCCTCTTAATGCTTTATAGGCAGATTTTTATTCTGGCCTTTGGTTTCAAAATTCACACAAAGGTGCAGAAGGCTGGATGGGGGATGAGCAAGATTTTTTGGTCAGCATATTTTTAGGATGATGTGTTGAGCTACATTTATTTCTCACAAATAAAATATACCAGATTTTTTTTTTTTGCTTGAAAGTGAAAAGCAGTAATAATCCCTTTTTTTGTTCTGCTTCACCGATTCCCAGCAGTTTGAGGACAGACTCCACATTAATTTTCAAGGGTGTCACTAATTTTAGATGAAGAAAGACTCAAGGACTGTGCCATCTACATGTACCCTGGGCAGAAGAGCAATTTTGCTTAATGAGCTTTCTTTGACTTTAATAGCTCAGATATTTCTAAATGAGCTTTTTGTCTGGCTGCACATAAGGCTGTACATTTTAACCTTTACAAAGTTTGACCTTGTGGAATCTGTTTCTTCTCATGATCCAAATGGAGAAAAGCAAATTGGTCAGAGGAAAGAGATTCTGCATTCTACATTTCACAAATAAATTTTTTAGACTTTTCTTGCTTTTTTGCCACTCACTGATTTGGAAGACCATACAATTATCAGGAGAAAATTAAAATTATGCGTATGCCTACCTGAATTAAAATGACCCCTTCTCCAAGTATACATAATAAGGTTCAGTTTAGATACAAAATTGGAGCCCATCTTTGTAGCTTGGATCTGCTGGTGTCTCTGCAACATCCCATACCAAACTAAATACCCCAGGTCTTTCAAGGAAGTTTTAGAGCTGAAGCTGCAGCTGATGTCTAATCCCATGTCCTCTGAGTCAGTAACAGAAAACCCGCTGACATCAAAGGGTGAAGATTTCATACATGAACTTTATGGCTCTTAGCCATTTCTAATCAAAGAAACAAAACCCACCAGAAGGCTTATACAACATTCTCCAAAGACCTGTCTTGATGCAGTGAAGCACAGAAAAATATGTTTAACCCTAGCATAATTTTGAACTTAAAGCATGAGTTTCAGGACTTGAAAGAAAGTAGCACTAACTATTTAGTTTTAAATTAGCTATGGAGCTTGTCCCTCTTTATTTTATTTCATTTTTTAAAAATTAACTTTTGTCACAAAGCACTGGAATTGAGTAGCGAATTGCACAGAAAGAGAGTGTCTTTTATCCTGGGGTACTTGATTTGGGGGGCAACTAGCTTGACTAGCTAGTCTAGAAGCTCCCCAGCCTTCTCCATCTCCAGACTGGGGCTTTGCTTTATCCACTTTCTAGGCACTAATTTTTGCCAGTATTTGCCCTGAGCAGAAGACAACTTGCTGTCATGCCTTTCATGAGTTTGCTGCTGTTTTAAGTAAAGTTAGTGGGCCATATTTGAATCCAGCTTTTCTTGGTGATGTTTAAGTCAGTGTTTTTTCCACAAATGGAGGCTTTGAAAGCTGAAGGGAGCTGTCTGGTGCACGTAGGTGCTCGCCCTTGAAGTCAAGGAGTGAGATAGAGGAGGAGCTGAAAGAAAAATGCCATTTGCTGCAGCTCTAAAGTCAATAGGGGATGAAACATGCACTTAAGTACCTGCTGTTTGGTTTCCTTTCAGGATGATGATGAAGATGATGAAGAAGGCAAGAACAGAGCCCTGGCAGCAATCTCTAACAATTGCAGTGCCCCTGACAATACGAATAAGATCAATGCAAACAAGAGCAACCAAACCAGCATCGATAGAAAAAGTGAGAGAAGTAAACACAGTGTGTGTAGTTCACCAATGTCAGTAATGAAAAGACTTTTCTGTATCTTTGATTGCTTCCATGTTAAAAATCCTTACCACATAGACAACTATGCCCGATTTTCTTTCCCATTATCATTCATCATAATTAATGTACTTTACTGGGTATACTATTTGTATTTCTAAATATTCTATGGTGTAAAATTGATTTAAAGTTTAGGAAGTGGATATGAGAGGGGAAGTTTCAAAGAACAGAGAAGTTGTATTTGGATAAAGGGATATGAAAGGACTTCTTTCATGACATCTTTTTAAGGGTGTCTACAAAATTTCTTGTTAACTCGCTTTTCTGCTGTTAGATGTCTGTCATCCAAAACTGACTTTCCTATTAGCATGCATGTCACATATTAAACTACTTATCAAAGACCAGTAAGTCCTTTTTTAATATTTGATGGTCAAATTTGTGGGATAAGAGTTATACTTGTTTCTGAACTGCATTGAATAAACATAAAAATAGAACCAATGAAGTTTTCCTGCTATGCTTTCCATATTCAATTCCTTGTAGATTTGTCAATAATGCATAAATTTTCCATATTACATAAGGAATTTTATAATTGCAGATCAAAGTGGTTTTTCTACACAGCAAGAAACAGTTTTGAAGGCATGGGCTACCAACACAAACCAAGCAATCTATTCATCTTTGTAAGGTCACAAAGATGTCTTGAGACTCTTCTACATCTGTAGACGGAACTCCCATAGGCATCAATGGCTTTTCTGAGTAGGTGCAGGGCAGACTACAAAAATGGACTGGGGCCAAAAGGTTTACATCCAGAGAGTTGTATTCCCCTGAGTGAGGACATACTTAGTAATGTTCGCCAAGCCATCATGGACTATGGCCCTTCATCCTGACATCTGTACTATGCTCAGTCACAACTGCCTGGCTAACTATTATGCAGAGGAACAATTTGATGTGCTTAATTTTCAGCTTAGCAAATTCCTCTTGACTCACTTGCCATTAAAAATTTTCACATAAAGGTGAAAAAGCTTCTTGAATAGAAAACTCTGGATATGCAATAGCTCTTGATGCATTAGGAAAAGTTTTACACCGATGAAATTATGACTCACATGAGAGGATGGTTAGACTTGATGAAAAACCATAACAGTCTTTACAAGTGGTTACTTCACTGATAGATATTACAAAAGTTATTGGTATGGCAGCCTGTTTCTTATACTGCAGTATGTAAGTTTAAAAGCACTTATTTTTATATCTTTCTCCTGACCATACTGTATGTGTCAGTTGCATATATATGTATAAACCTGTATATGTGCTTTTATACTCTGTGTATCTTGGCATTTGTGATGATGCACAGAAATGCATTAGAAAGCTCCCCAATCAGTCTTTGATACACCTTTTCACCAGCGTGCTGCCTGTGCAGAACATCATTACATAAGAAGCGAGAAAGTGCAAAATAGCAGTGCAGGTTGGATTTGCCCTTGCTCACATCTAAATCCATAAAAATGATTGCACGCTGGCAGACAATTATTAGGTCACTAAAATTCCCTCAGTGGTTTTATTTTCTAAATGGGTTGACTACTGAAAATTTGTTTCTCTGCTGTTATGAGTAATGCCTTTTGTAAGACTTATTGATGCAATGCGACTTCAAGAACGGTCTAGTGGCTCTTGGTACCTTGTGGGTCTTCTGACTTTCATATAAAACCAAATACATTCAAGAAATCAAACCAAGATTGCCTGTGTTAATGAGCAGCCAAAAAAGCAATCTATTCTTTTTTTATTTAACGTTCTGCTGTTACATGTTTATGCTTAAACCCTTTATTCAGGAACAGATTGTATGACATTTTTTCTTGGAAATGAGACATGAAACTGGACCCTCAGATCTCTTTCCAGTTTTTTCTCCCATAAAATTCACAGAAGGCAAATGGTAAAGCTCTGTACTTAGTTTCTTAAATTAGAAGTTTGCATTATTCCTGAATCTTTTCAAATAGTTATGCACATCTTGCAAGTTACCTGTCATGTTAACACTAAATTTGAGATTTACATTTACTACAAGCATAAAGTAAGCATTTAGAGTTTTGTAGCTTCCAATTAATTTGGAGATAATTCACCTTATATATTATTTTAGAAAGCTGTTGAAGCTCTGGGCAGCTTTATTTACAGTGCATTAACTGATAACAGGGCCTGTTTTCCCACCAATGTGCTAATTGTAAGCAGATTTAGATGCTGAAGTCCCCCATGTTTTCATGAATGGACTGCACAGACAGATTATTTATTACTCTGCTTTGCACAATTCTGCATTAATTACTAATTTCAAAAACAAAACTTGTTTTGACATGAATTTGTTGTAAAAGATGTCCCCAACAGATTTTCAATGTGGTGTATGAAGAATGAAGAATAACATTTAAATTATCCTATTCAAACATAGTTTCTGTCCCTAGAAACTAACAAATTCCTTGGAATTAGCTGGAAAGGTTCCTCTAAGTGGAATTCATGAACATGTGACTGAAGGTCACAACTCAGAGGTAAATTAGAGATGAAGTCTCTTTCACTGCTAAGAGCCGGGCCAAAGTTGAGGCTGAGGCAATGACAATGGCTTTGGCTTCATACCTGATGGAAAGGGGAAAGACTGGACTTTCTGCAACCGTTTTTTGGTTGATAGTTGTGTTTCCTACTTTGATTTTAATGTTTTCTAATCAGAGACCTTCTCAGATTCATAATTCAGAAATGTCCTCTCATTTTTTGAGGTCACTTGAGGCAGATGTACAATGAATGAGGGACCTGAAGCAGGTGAAGGGGGTTAGCAACAGGAGCTGATGATGCATCTTCATGTAGTTCACTTTGCTGTTAGCAGGAGGTGCCCTGCTTTCGACATATCTGAAGGCAGCAGCCAGCCCAAGCAAAACATTTCCTTCCTCTGTGGAATGCCTGCAAGCCTGGTCTTTTTTTTTTTTTATTCAACAGCCATCTCACAGGTGTTTAAGCATTGTGCAGACTAGAAACACGTCTCTGACCTTAATAAGTTCTTTGATATTATTTTCTTTCTTAATGGAAAAGTGTTATTAAAATAAAACCCTATGCTGAGATATTAATCAAATATAACATTAGTTTTTTTGAGATTTTAGACATATGAAGGTATTAATCCTTGCTGTATTTCAATTTCAGCAATTATCTGGTGTTTTTCTGGTTCAGTTATGTCATAGGTAAGTATCTCATGCAACCTACTTGTTACGCTAGTTGGGGTATTTTGAGAGTGTTTGAAATACTCCACCTAAATCAAGAGGGTAACACTAAGGAAGATGATATTTTAGAACAGGCATTCATTAACCCTCTCAGAAACTAAGAAGGCATTTTAAATCACCATTAGATAATTTCCTTTAAAATGTAAACAACTAAATATCCCATCTGAATACGGTAGTCAGCACATATGGCAAGCATAAGATAAGGGCATCCATCTGTTGATCTGAGTACCCATTTTCAGCACAGTGGCCTTGTTTATAACAGTGCTGCAGTAACTTAAACAACTCCCTTTCCTGCTTTGTCTCTTCGTATTTTGTGCTAATTATTTTAAGGGGACTGGTATGCCTTTTGGCATGGGAAAACATATTAAAAAAAACCAAAACAGATGTTCCACATTGTCACCCTGCAATTCAAAATGAAATTACCAAAAAGATTAAGATTAAAGAAAACCTACATAAAAGTAAAGCTGATGACAGAAGAACAGAAGAAGAAGCAGAAAGAGGTGAATCTTCTGCTTTCAGCTCTTGCCAGTGCTGTGGTGCAGCGGAGTGCTTGGAACGTCTCTACCAGTGCAACCTGAGGAGGTTCAGGGGAACTGGCTCTGCTGGTACAATTCACTTCATGCAGCGGTAGATGGAGCTCATTAACTGCTCTTCATCATTGAATGAGCAAATGTAAATGGCAAATGCTACTTAAGGAGGACTCTAAGGAAAAGCTATTACAAGCTGACATTCATACTATGGTAACTAGGTCATGTTTGTAGTGACAGATTCATTAAGATCAGGTAAAACAGCATTGTCAGGTGGACTACTTTTTACACTAAAGTTCAGGCTTCTCAGACCCTGACTGTTGTTTCCAGCATTTTAGCCACTGAAATCATTAACATATTTTGCCAGTTCACAAAGTAACTTCATTACTACAATATCTTGTGTTTTAAGCATAAATTTTCTATCCTTGTGTCAAGGTTTTCTCCTGCAGATTATAATATTTCAAATAAAAGCATCACAGTACCTCAGTATTTCAAGGCAGGCAGAATAGTGGCTGTACCAACAGTTTTCCTATAAATCTTTATGAATCCTAAATAAGTGTTCCCAGCTAATTCACTGGCACACTGCTAACAGTTGTCACAAGGATTAAATTAATTTTAAAAGTCAGTTTAAATAATTTGGAAAAGTTTCCCTTGAAAGAGGGTTTGTTGAAATGGTAAGAAACTGAGCTGTGAGAGTTTTCTGGGCTGGTTAGTGCAAGAACAAGCTATCTCAACCCCAGAGCTGAAAACTGGAGTGGATGCTGCTCACTGCAGAGAAGTGGGTGCTTGACAGAGCTTAAGCAGATAAGCTCAACATAATTTTGAACTCTGTAATGGATTTGCCATCACTCATTATACAACTTTATAATTAAAACCAGGGGTCCACTTTAATAATATTGCCAAGTTCAGCTTTTCATCACTTTCCATCTGGAGACATCTTTCTTACCCAGTCCCATCTGACTGTCAAACTTTCAGTCCTTAGAAAGAGAAGGATAAGGGGGCATTTGGGGGCATTTCAATCTCTTGATGTGAGTTTACTCATATAATTTGAGTTCTGGGTTTCTTTCCAAACTGGAATGGACCCTATTTTCCTACTCCAGATCAAACACAGCCAAAACTTCAGAAGACAAAAAACCCAGTAAGATTTTAGCGTCATCGCATGTGCACACGAACCATAACCCTGATTCATTTTGAAACTCTGCTCTGAATTTAAGTTTAACCAAGATTTAATCACTGGATAATTTGGATAACACTGGACAATCTGTATTAACACACAAGCAGCTGCACCACTGTTGTTTCCCTTGCTATAGCAGGTAACTTTGGAACCTAGACAGTAAAAATATTTGATGACAGGATTATTTGATTTCTCATAAAGTAATTTAATCTTTCTTTAAAGTCAGGTCAGGA